TCTCCCTCTCCTTTCCCCTTCCCCTATTCCCCATCACCCCTCCCCCTCTTTCCCGCTTGCTTTGCTGCGTGGTCCTTCGGTGCTCATCAGGATGGAGTGGACGGACTTTGTCAACCACTTCAACACCCTTGAGGTCAGGGTGACCGGGATGACATGGCATGGCATGACACGACATGCAGAGGGAAGGGGCCCCAAGGGAAAGTGAAACCGCTTGGCTCAGGCATGGCCCAAAGATGCAAGGGATGAGTTGCAGAGCTAGAGGGGGAACTTAAGGGGGGTGTTCGTAGGAATTGTGGATGGGCTGGGTCGCCGAGCTACTTTCTTGCCCACTTGTATCATAGAAACGTCCCTTCTCACGGAAGTTTTCCTTGCTCCCGCTCACGAGTCACTTGGAGGGCACGAAGCCTTCATTGCTTGTTCCACGTTGTTCGCTGTGCCCATAAACGACCGTGCGCTAGCTCATGCTCCCTCTCATCCTCCCCAACTCCGTTCCGCCGTTCCCCGAATTGACCCTCGGCGGCGTCCGGCCGGCTGTGTGCGGGCACTGCTTCTGGGCCTGGCATTACTCCGCCTCGTCTGCATCCGCACCATGAATTCCGCGGCTACCGGATCGTGATGTTCATCGCTTTGTTGCTCACTAGTTCTGCTGCCGGTAAGTTGGCGATAAGGGGAAGGGTGAGCACATGGATTAGCTCTTGATCATCGATTAGTCAGCTGCCCATTGCCGGCGGGTGCAGCAGCGGAAGACCGGCGAGCAAGGCATCTGGGCTGCTACACGGACATTGCGGCAAGTGCACCATATCCGCATACCCGCTGGGTTCACGCGCGACAAAGATTGCCGCACCGGAATATCCATCCCGTAGGGGCAAATCCTCTTTGAGCTCCGTTACCAGTTCATCTCGCATGTCGCCATGGAACCGCGGAGGGCTGGCTGCAGTACGACATGATTTCCCCTCGGACGGGAAGCAACCAGGCATTAAGATGGCTAAATACAAGCACTGGATGGGGTTGTCGTTTGGGAAAGCAGCTGGAGCCAGCTGGTTGCCGCATGCCAATATGTTCATCCCTGTTGATATACACACGCACACGCACATGACAGATAGCCATGACGCGCAAACATGCCAAACCCGGCCCTGGCCCCATTCTCATCCCCAACTGCCTGGTTACGGCTCTTACCTTCCCACTTCACGCCCGGTCCTGGCCCGGCTGCTCAGGAGCACCGGCTTCGACCACGTGGTCATTGACATCCACGAGGTGCGCTGTACTGCACCAACTTGCTATTGCCCGCACAGTGCAGCTTGGATGAGTTCCGCCTTCGGTTTGATTACTACACCGTTGTGCATATGCAAATGATAAAGGAAAGCGCATGGGCTTTAGAATCAGTGTCCGCTCCAGGATGGGTAATGTTGCTATCAAATGCACCTCTTCCTTTCTTTTACATGCTATGTATTCTTCCGTGTAAGATCTATGGCCTATATTAAGAGCGATGACCTATATAAGGCACCCTAACGTGACTTGCGCGCCGCAGCAGGGTCTCCGAGAACAGCACGGCATTCCCTGCCCACATTAGGGGTGTCTTCGTCGCCAAGTCACACTTCCCTCATTCACCCTGCAGTTTTCAACGCCCTACCTCCCCTATCCTGGGCAATTGGCCATCATGTTGTTATGCATGTGTGTGTGTGTGTGTGTGTTACATAGTTGGGGGTGCGTGACCCCATACCTGTAAAACCATGTTGTTACGCAGTTTTGTCTGTTGCCTGTGATGCGACATACCGCCCCCTGCAGGAAACTGAATTATAACCCAAAGCCAAAACCCTCGCTTTCATAAACCCTCTTTGCAGGAGCACCCATGCTGCGGGCCCTGCTGGGGCTGCATTGAGGGCTGTTTCAGGTCTGGGGGAAGTTGTGGGCGGGCGCGGATATGGCTATGATGGGTATCATGCGGTTGGATGGCGTGTGGGCGACAGCCTTGGGCAGGGGGGGACTGGAATGGAGCGCGGTGGATGGATTCCGCGCTAAGGGAAGGAACTCGCTGCTGGGATGGGGCTGTCGAGTGGGTCTGGAGGAGGAGGACCCGCTGCCATTGAGGTCGGAGCCTCCCTGAAGCCAAGGACTGTGGTGCAAGGGCGCACGGACTTCGATCAGTGGCGGAGGTTGGCCAGGCCCCGGCTTTCTGGCCACATTCGCCATTTTCCTCCTAACCTCCTACCCTCCTACCTCCTGCTACCGTCGCCTGTCACGTTGTACCGCGCCGCAATCGCGACAGGTATTGGTGCTGCTGCCTGGGCTGCAAGGCGCTGTGCTGCGGCCGCAAGGTGCGCCGCTTTAAGCGGCCGCCCAATGGCTGCTGTGGCTGCATACAGTAAGGGTCCGTACCGCTGCACCGCCGTCCTCTCGAGCGATGTCAACATTTTGCTACATTTTGGTTCTTGGCTGCGTCTTCTAACACCCGCAGATCCCGTCGTGTGTTTGCGTGAACTGGTTGGGGACCCTGGCCCAGGTCTCTGGACCCTGACCCTGGCCAGTCATCCAGGTCCTGACGGACCCTGGCCTGCCTGGAACACTGCAAGTATGGGCTCCGCACCGCGTTGTGCTCCCCAATGGACAGTGTGCCTGACGCCCCTGGAGCTCGCACCGTGACTCAAACTGAGTACGGAAGGTCGATTTCGCTCCGTCACGGCCAGCGGTTGTGGTATAACTTCCTATGACTTAGGCCAGCCATGCTCAGCTCTGTTCAGCACTTTTGCGCAACAGGGCCACTTGCGCTCGGACGCGGTCAAGACTGCCAACGGCCGCACGCGGCCTTGGGGCTGGCATGTAAGGTTTGGCTAGCGTTTAGGTGGCGCACGTGATGAAATTGAAGGGGTTTCGTGGCCCGGAAGCATATTGACCGTTAGGTGTGCGTGCGTACTTGCGGTCTTTGCGTGCGATAATGGGGCTGTTTTTTAACGTGTTGTTGGCTATTGCACGCGCCAGGCGCTGCATGAAGAACGCATGTGATAAGGTATTGGTTGAGGAGGTCAGCTGGAGGACGTGCCCAGATACAGCGTTCGCTTCTTTTTCAAGACGTTTTGTTACCTAGGCGACGCGTCATCCGCAGTTGTCTGTCTTCCGGGCGCAGGGGGTAGGTTGATCGGTAGGCAGTTTGAGGCCGGGAGCCATAGGCAATGGCCCTGCTTTTTCTTGCTTTTTTTGCTGCTGGTGTACGGGACAAGGGGGGCGTATCTTCACCCGTGGCCGCTACCCGGCGAAACCCTTCCTTCCCCGGTATTTCGGGACACCCTCATCTAGTCACTCCAGTCAAGTTCTCAGTGGATCGCTCAGGTTCCGCACCCACCAACGACATCCAACGGAATCTGCCGGATCGACGGCGGCCCAACTCCATTCCTGGTCAGCTCGCAAGCCAACTTTATCCCAGGTCACCACCGTCCATCGACTAGTTGCACTTTACCTTCCACCATCGGAAGGATTTTTGATCTTGGGGCATTGGTGCGTGCTCTACCAATAGTGCCTGACCTGCTGCTGGGCTGCTGTCGGACTGACCAGCCATGGTCTCATCCCGTTTGGACGCCGTTTGACGGACCTCTGTGCGTTAGGAGGGTAGGATCCGGGCTGGAATTAGGGAAGAGCTCTGTCGCAGAATTAGCCTGGATTTTATTCCTGACAAAAGAATTGGTCCGTCGAGGTCTTGAATTGTTCTGGCGGGCTCGCCGGAGGTATTCGAATTGCGCTGTGGAGCCTCGGAATTGGGCTGTGCTGGGCCTGAATTGGCCTGTCCGGGTGCCGAATTGGCCTAACAGGGTATCGAATTAGCCTGGCAGGGTATCGAATTGACCTGTTCGGGGTGTCAAATTGGCCTTGCAGGGTATCGGATTAGCGTGTTCAGGGTGTCGAATTGGCTGTCAAGTTGGCAGGATTGGCTGGGGCTGGCATCCAAAAGCACATGACTTTTAAGGAATTTACAAAAAACTTTGCAAGGGGACCGCTTACAAGTGCCTCATGTGCGTATTGGTTTCGATCCCAGGACATGGAGCAGGAAAACTTGCACACCTGTTTACCGTACTCTGGCAATGTAGGATGGCAAGCACTCAGGGCCACAACTGCAATACCCAGTCAAGTCAGTCGCCGAGGCCCCACTGTTTTCCTACCACACTTCATCGGCAGTTTGTCCAGTTTATCCCACAATACTCGTAAGCATGAATAGGTTCGGGTGGAAACAATTGCAAATCTCCGATACACCGCTAAACTCAGTACCACGAGCTAAAATGAAAACAAATGAAAATGCAGATGTCTGTCGAGAAGAATGTGTGCTCCACATGCGTTCTGTGCCTTAATCCATCGAGCTCTCCGTTGGGCGGGGCATGGCCCATGAAGTTGCCCCTGGTATTCTGCCCATGCAACCAAACACTGACACAAAACGTTGCACGTCTGGGCCCATGTAAACCATGACACTTCCGTGTGGATTGGCTACCCGCGCTCCCCATGGCAGGGGTCCTCCCTCCTGCTGGTGACTCCCAGATTGTCCACGCACAAACGCCAAACGTTGGCGCAGAAAACAGACAGGCCACTGCAGTATGGCATCTAACCATGCATAATAGTGCGTTCTTGCCAAGGTTGAATATCATTTTTAAGCTTGGTTAAATCTAAACCGTTTGGACCACGTAAAGGCTTTAACCATGGGCCACCGAATGGTCCTTCAAGAAGGGTCCTTCGCGACGGGTCTTCTAAAGGGAAACCAAATGGTTAGGAAATCTTTTCGTTCGCATGACTAAGTGAGTAGTCATGCTGCGATAGCGATACAAAAAGTTATCCGTCAGTCGCTGGGATGTAAACAGAAACGATGTCCTCGTGTGTGCTTTTATGTCCAGTAGCTTTAGGTACGTAGTAGCTGCAGCAAGCAGTGATTAACGTTAACGCCCTCGACTGCAGGAAGCAGTTGCTGTTGCCCCACTGCAGCCCACACGCAGCCCCCAGCACCTGTGGTTTGCGCAAGTTATGGCCAGCGCAACCATTGTGCGCATATGACCGCACAATCGATCCGCAGCGCAGACATCTGGGCTGCCAGGGCACGCGAACGGCTCAACATCAAACCGTTTTGTCCCGTAAGACGTAAACCAACCGTTCCGTGTAAACGTGAGGAACACCTGGTGTTGTCCACCTGTGTTGGGCATATGGTTTGCGACCTTTGCCATGACAGTCCTTTGCAAACTTGCATCAAAGATTCTTATTGCTGAAATAACCAAAATGAGTTACGTTGCAGGAAGTAGTCTCATTGGCGATAAAGACACGCAAACGCCTGTCGGCAAACTGTCTGACTCATGCAGGCTCATACCCTACCACAGCCATGTCACCTCTCATGCTAAACCCTGAATAATATGGTTAAAAAACCTGCTCAGCTCGAAGCAGGTGCTTGCGGGATATGACATGCACGGCAAGTGGGTCCGGGGGCAAACCGTGCACGGCAGTCTGCAATTAGGCAGGTTATTAAAAATGCAGACATAGGCCGGTATACAGTATTTCAACCAGGTGAAAAAAGTTATCTTGCATTGCTTTGGCTCGCCATTCGTAATCTGAAAAGGCATAACGTTGACGGACACTTACTCATGCTTAGGGTTCAAAAAGTCAAATGTTAGCCAAAACTTCCTAGGAGTGTTCTATGATAATTTCACATTATTGTTTTAGAGTTTTTGTGGACAGGATGCTGTTATGCCGTCATTCGTACGAGGGCTTAGTCAGCCTCTCTGTGCAGCGCCAAGAACAGCCCGTCGACAAACGCATCCATTAAGATAAGACACAGGCGCATTAAGAGGACACATGTATTTAAGGCAGCATATAACGTGCTCGGAATCTGCAATTCATCCGCTGAACAACTTGCAGCATAATGTTCAGCGCTTGCTTTGGGCGTGGGTTGTTTGTAAGGAATAGGATTCCTTCCAGCAGTCTTCCCACTTCTAATGCAGATGCGAGAGCTCGGCTGCAGGAGAATGAGGGAAGCAATAGAGGGTTATCGGAATCTAACACACAGCAGGACCGCACCAGCGATGAAAGGACTGGTAATCTTTGCCCTATCAGGAGAAGCCACGAGGGCGCTGCAGCTTCTGCAACTGGGCAAGCTGTTCCCATGGCGTCGTCGTCGGTACCAAACGGCATCAACGCTTCACGCATTCAAGATGTGCTTCCTGAAAATGTCACTCTCTGTGATGCCCGCAATGTTATGGAAGGCCTGTGCCTACAGCAACGCGAACTCGGACGAGGGACCTACGGCATCGTCGTCCCAGGTGCGCTTTCAACTGCAATCGCCCAGGACCTGCGCTTTCCTCAATCGCGCATAATGTTCTTTTATACAGTCTTTTTTGTCTCAATCACACATTCTACCTGGATGCGCGGGTTGCGGGGATCTGCGCTCGTACAGGTACCTATCGCGGTGTCAACTGTGCTGTCAAGATCATGCTTTCCAGAGGTTTGGAAAAGGCCGCCATCCGCGAGGTTCTGCTAAGTCCGAGACTCGTCCACCCAAACACCGTCCTGGTAGGTTCCTATCGGATGTGCTCAGATGCCACCAAGATCCTTGTTGCCTGCCTGCCTGCCTGTCAGCCTACCTGACTGATATGCGTCTGTATACCAACGTGTACCTCACAAGCTTCCCGGCACCCCCGCGACTGTCGCAAATGCACCTCACCTCAGCGTTGTTACCACGCATTGTTATCACATGCGTGGTAACAACACATTTATCACTAGCTGGTTCTATCCCAAACAACCTAGAGCTGCGCTGATGGAGTTGTTGTGTGTGTGTTACATGGTTGGGGGGTGCGTGACCCCATACCTGTAAGACTACCCATACGAGCCGAAGGCCCAAGGGCAATACTACAACGCCTAAAAGCCACGGAGAAAAGGAAAAACACCGCACATCAGCCCAGATTAGCGTCCAAAGGGGGTAATTGAGTTTCGGTGAGCCCACATACGTTCCAACATCCTCGCCAGACGTGCGGGTTCCCATTGCATGGCCTCCAACATGCTCTGAGTTGTTGTGCAAGTTACAAATTAGAAGTTCCGCAGGAGCGCGCGAGCCGTCCGTGAAAGCTTGAGGGGGGCGCCCACCTCCCACGGAGGGCCAATTGTCATTATTACTATTATTGTGAAACCGAGCGGTGGTAGGACGTTGTGGTCCGGCCCCCCGCTCGCCTGGGCGCGGCGCGCCTGAGCGCGATGTGCCTTTCCTCCAAGGGGGGTTTCAGCCATGATAGTACGCAATGCAACAAGGGACTTCGAAAGGAAGGCTTCTGCTGCTGCTGTTACTGCTGCTGCTGCTGCTGCTCCTGATATTGCTGCACCCAGGCCGTGGAAATCAAATCCGACATATGCGCACCATGTGTGTTCACACCATGCATGCAGACGTACGCCACCCGTTGTGCACATCTTACGCACGAATTTTTTGATCTTCTGGAGGGCGAAAGGTGTGTGCGCGAGAGGGCATGCGAGGGCAGGGAAGTGCGGACTCCATCGTCGTCAACACTGCTATCGCCTTTGCTCTTCTTTCCAGGCTATGTGTGTCTATTGCAGCGACAGGCGATGTGCCCTTTGGCTCCTCGGTTTCTTTGCACACATTACGGTGTAGAAATTTGGTAGCCCGCTGTTATAACAACAACAGCAACGACAACTGCTCGTCCTTTCTCGGGGCGAGCCGCCCACAGTGTAACACCCCATCAACAACTGTTATCGCCACCATCCCGGCCGGTCGCCGTTGGCCCCGTCGCCAGCCTGTCAGGTTCCAGTCCTGTTTACAATGTGCAACTCCCTTCGCATTAGGACTCCCTTTCCGACGTTTCCACTTCGTCGCCAATAGAATCCTTAAATGCCTTCACTTGCCCATCCATTTATTTACGCATTTCCTGATTTGCTCAACCGATGGGGCTTTTGTTGACTACTTCCCGGCAACACAGGTCCGGCCTGGAGTGCATTGCAGAGAATTGATGCATGCGCCTTTTAGACCTTATCACGCTGGGTAGCGTGGGGAAGGGTGCCTAACTCAATGCTTGGCCTTGGAGGCTTCTGCAGCCGCTGACTGTCCCTTTGCCTGGACGCGAGGGCGCTTTGAAGATACTCATATATACCTCTGCTTGTGCGCTTGCCGTATTCGTTACCCACGTCCCCAACAGGGATGCCAACCGTGACCCTCGTCTGCCACGAGCCCTAGAACCCGTCCCGCTGAGGTCAGGTAAGGTTAGGATGCCGCCCACGAGACCCACACGGATCAAGTTACGTTTTAAATATGGTTTAATTTAATTTCATCTGTTAGATTCCAAATGGATGAATGAAGATGAGCCGCGCAAGTGATGGCTTCGCAGTATTACGGCAGTAATGCAACTCTGAAATTCTAAGTTGCAATTCTATGATATATATTTTTTACTTTGGATGAAGCGCGCGCTGTCGGTTGTAGGCGTCCCGGAGGCAAAGCAGCTCTTAATTCGCCCGGCCGGTGGGCCAGTAGCGCTGACAGCAAGACTTTGTCGAAACGGCAAAACGCATAAAGCGAAAAAACTCTGGCGCTGGCTTAAATGCCGGCGGCCAAATTCTCCAGCCTGGCCGTTCGCTGACGGCACAGTGGACTGATTGGGCCTTCCTTCCAGATCCTTCGTGTCCTGGAACACCAGCATCCAGAGCACACACCCATATTCGATACGCAAGCCACCCTTGCTTCATGCCAAAGCTCATGGCATGAACCGGGTCCTTTGACTCAACTTCATAGTGCGCTATTTACACCCCCAACCCCCAATCTGCGAACCGTCACCTCTTCCATTTCCCTTGAGACGATTTTTCTTATTGCATATATTTCCCGGGCCTTTTCCAGAGGATGGTTTCGGAGACCCTACGGGATTACATGACGGGTCCGACCCGCTGTTCGTGCTGCACCAAGTCCTGCACACGCTTGGGGTAGGTACGAATGCCATGCACCAAGCACCATGTCCCCAGGGAGCAGCGGTTTTGCCGCTGTTGTGGCACCAATAACCTTGTCGAGGATGAAAACACGTGTTGTTGGAATGGCCAGCCTATAATTCTATTCGTGCGGAAGAGGGATTCGATCATAAACAGAGCATGTTGGAGGTCATGCATTGGGAGCCAGCACGTCTGGCGTCTGGCGTCTGGAGCATATGTGGGCTCACCGCAACTCAGTTATCCCCTTTGGGCGCCAACCTAGGCTGATAGTGCGGTGTTTTCTTTTCTCCGTGGCTTTTAGGCGTATAGATACTGCCCTTGGGCCTTCGGCTCGTATGGGTAGTTCTACAGGTATGGGGTCACGCACCCCCAAACATGTAACATACACACACACACACACACACACACACACACACACAGAATGCCATGCTGTAAAGTTATAGTCCACCATGCTGCAACTGCTCGCTGTGCATTGCTATGTTGCTGCTGCTGCTCACCTACGGGCCCTCCCATGCTACTCGGGGCCAACTCGGGCCGACAGCAAAGCCGCTGCAAATAACGCCTGCGTAATCTGTCATCCGCCACCTAACCGAAATCAACCACGCCGCCACCACTCACGCCGCTAACCGCCACCAACCGCCACCAACCGCCAGGCCGAAACCGGTAAAACCGTGGTGATCATCATCCAGGAGCATTGCGATCGCGGTACGTTGGACAACGCCATCCGCAGGAATATATTTCGACCTACATCGCAGTGGGGTCTGAGGCTGGCACGGCGCGCACTGCTGCGCACCGCCGCGGAGATCGCACGTGGGTTATTGCACCTCCACGACTGCGGGGTCGTTCACGGGGACTTCAAGGTGCGGGAGGTGATGATGGGATGGTGTTGTGATATGGAGGTTGGCTGAGTGTTGGGTTTGGGTGGATGGCGGTGGGAAGACACACAGTGTTGTCGTGTGTGTCTGAATTTTCTGCTCTCCTTTGAAGAGAGGCCTTCCTTGGATCGTCCGGCGATTTAAACTCTGTGCTCCCTTGTAATTCAAACTACTGCCGGCATACTTAAAATAAAATGGATGGTACCGACACCTGGATGGTGGCGGGCTAGGCCCCAGGCATGATCCCCCAAGTCGCACAACCCTTCCCTTCCCTTGCCTTCCTTTTCCCGGTGCTCCTAAAACAACTCCAGCCCGCCAACGTGCTGCTGAACTCGTCTCGGGAAGACAGGCGCGGCTTCGTGGTCAAGGTAAGGCAAAGGATGGCAAAGGTTGCCAGGTTGGTGTTTCTCGTCGGAGGTGGTTGAGGCGGTAAAGGTGTGAGCTGATCTTGGCGGATTGTACAAAATAATTACAGCCTGCTGTAGCGTACTGTTTTTTCCATAGTCTCTCTAGAAAACTTTTTTTTGTTAAAATCAATTGAAGATTTTTTTCCTGTTTCAAGGTCGACATAAACCTTAGTAGGAATTTACATTATTTTTTTACATAATACATATACATATCTTTGATTTTTTTTATTATTTCGCGGGGAGTTGCACCCCTGACATGATGAGTTCTTTCCATCCCTGCACCTCTACCTGTATGGGGCTACCATCTAGAACAGCTTCAAGCTAAGGGCCACTGCTTACGAAACAGGTCGCGGACTTTGGACTGGCGCACGTGCTACCCATCACCGCCGACAGCCTGTTCACGGACAGCTGGGGCTCCATCGCCTACATGGCCCCGGTACGTGCGTGTGGCAGATACATGACATTTTTCAGTTCATGTCGTCTCTTCACTGTGCAGTACACAAGACGCGACGGTTGTGCAGCAAAAGCTGCGCTGTCGCACGGCGCGTGGCAGCATCTGCAGCACCCACCCTCATATACCACACGCCACAAACGCTCCCCACGCTAGTGCTGGCTTGGCCCCAAAGCGGGTGATGTTAAGGCGACGGGGCCCCTGTCTGGAATGCGAGACGATGTAAGATTTATTGGATTGAGTTTAGTTTCGGGGCCAATGCCATGTGGAGGCTAATCTAGTCTAATCTAGCCACTGATCGGCCCTGACCGCGGCCGCGAACATCCCAAGTTGCGCAGTTTGCGTGGGCCTGCATGTCGCCTTCCCGTAGCTCAGCCAGCCACCCACAGCCACCAACGGGGTCCACGCGGTGACGTCCTCAACCCTCAATCCTTCAGGAGGCATTTGGCGGAAAAGTCAGCCGTGCAACTGATGTCTGGGCCTTTGGTGTGGTGCTCTGGGAGATGCTGACGGCGCAGCGACCGTTTGCAGGCTGCCGCCAACGTGAGTTCCGATTAGTTCCGTACACTGGCTGCCGTACATCAGCTGTGTGGATGGAGGGGAAAATGAACAGCGTGTGTGGAGTCCCGCACCGTTTTTCAGCTCCGATTGTGTGTGTGCGTGTGCATGTGTGTGTGTGTGTGCTTTAGACCAGATGTAGATGTGCCGTTTGCTGTTCACTGCTACCAGAGCGCCGCAGAGCGTTCATTTCGTCGCCTGCTGGTGGTGCAGCACTCCCAAGTCGCCCGACTGTCCGCATGCATCTTTCTCCCGCATATCAATCCGTCAACTCCTCCTCCTCCCTTGTCACCCGCTCTCTAGCCGCCTAGCGCATGCTGTTCGCAGCTGCTAATCCTGGTAAGCGGTGCACGGGGTGCCCTGCACACACGGTGAATTGACCATAAACCGCACAATGTTCGAACGCGCCACACACGAGCGCAAAAAAAAAGAAACTCGCGGGGACTCAATATAAGTATGCCTATGAGTAATTTCATCGCTCTCGCACGCGCATACGCGGCCACGTTGTTTTATGTCACATGACCACGACCCCCCTGGGTGCCCTTCGGTGTGTATATTCCGTGTACATTTACGGTTCCACAGCGGATGTAGTCATAGGAGTTCGGGAGGGTCATCTGAGCCTCCTCTGGCCCGAAGATGAACCCATGGCCGCGCCAATAATTGAGCTGGGTCGCCGCTGTCTCAGCCACAATCCCGATGGCCGCCCGCGGCTCGATGTTGTGATCCAGTGCCTTGTCAACATCGAGCGCGGCATCCGAGCGGAAGCATTTGAGGAGCAACGCCAGCAGCAGCAGCGGCAACCGCAGCGGGGTGTGCAGCCGCAGGGGATGCAGCTGCGGGTGTTACAGCAGGAGAAGCTGCAGCAGCGGCTCGTGCAGCAGCCGCAGGAGCCGTTGCAAAGGGAGCCGCGTGCCGCTGCTGACCCCGGCGGCCGCGGTGGATTGGCTCGCCTGGATAGCAGTCGGGAGAACTCCGGGTCAACTCCTTCCATCATCGACTCACTGCATCCCACATCTGACATCGTTCTTCTATGAGGGAGTGGAGCGGAGTGGAGTGGCGTGGAGTGGGAGTGTCTGGCGCGGCTGAGCGGGTTATAGGCTGCGTCGGAAGGCAGGCTGATATGCTTGGAGCGAGGTCACCTACAATCACGCGAGTGTGCGTATGTATGTATTATGTATGACCATGAAGCATTAAGCTCTGCGCCATGCCATGCAAGCCGCCGACGGTGTTTATCGTTTGGTTGGTTGGTTGGCTGGTTGGTTTGGTTGGTTGGTTGGTTGGTTGGTTGGCCCACCTGGTGAGCCAAAAGACCCACGCACCGGCGCCGGCGGGTTCAGGCGTGTGTAGTGTTGGAGGCAGCAGCTCGGCCGTGGGCAGCTACTGCCGTTGCTTTCGCAGTTGCGGACGGCCTTGCGCGTGAATGGCCTGTGGTGTATAGGGTTGAGTCGAACACGAGCCAAGTCATGTGGCTGTGCGTGCGGGACTTGTGCGTGGATATTAAGATGGTTAGGCGGTTAGGTGGTGGTGCACATGCTTAAAAGAGAGCCGCCAGGGCCCCGCAGCGCCACTGGATGCGACTTCGACGCATTCGTCTTCCCATGCGGGCTGGCGGGATAGGTTGGCGTTTTGCTCGTGTGGTTGCTTTGGCCCACACATAAGCCGCCGAGGAGTCTGATTAAGAAGAAGATCTAAGAATGAATGTTATTAATGCCATACAAACTTATGTCCATTCTTTTATTCGAAACGTTGTTAGATGATAAGCAGCTAAGCTGCATAAAATTATGAATGACTTTCATTACTGTGAGCTCGATGGGATGGGTGCATGTAGGGGTGGGCGAGCCGGAAGGAAGCAGGCCATGCAGCTTGCGCACCTACCTGCTGCTGCTGCCATCCGGCTGATGACCGTGCGAGCGCATGTCAAATTGCTTATACATACGGACAGGTCGCCGGGGGGTTAGGTAGAGATGGGCATGCGGATGCAGGGCACTGGCATGAGCTGCGTCCTCTCGGCATGCCGTGCACCAGATGGAATCGTGCATACGGGAAATTGTTGGAATTGTTCTGCTTTGCATTACATAGCCCCGTCCGCGTTGGTGTATGTTTTCGTACATATCATCACCACTAGAGCTTATGTTGACTGCAGCTGCCTTCAAAAGGGCCGCTGGCGTGAAAAAAACATTATGAGTGTTACACGGCCTGTACATACATACATGTTTCTAGGCGTGATCTACATACGCGAATTCATCGAATGTGAGTACCAGTAGCTTGCTTGGTTTAAGCAAGGCCACACTTTCGGAGTAGTGTAAGCGACATGTGGAAATGTACGGCGGGTTGGTGTGGGTGCGTGCACCCCCTGCTTAGGGCTCCAAATGGGGCGTTGTGCGGGGCGCGAGGAACGACGGCTGCCGGTCAGCGCCCATCGTGGCAGCAGGTTAGTCCGAGGGCGATTTCTTTTTTCGGTTGCGGCCGGGTAGCGCCTGTGCTTGTGGACAGAGCTGTGCGCTGTCCTGCGGGTCGCGGCTTCGGCGGCCATGGCGCCGCCCATGGCTCAACCCATGACGGCCATGGTGGTCATTCGCTCAAGCCACTGTAACTCGCATCCCGGCCGGGCCCTTATCACACACGCACACGCAGAAGTAGTGGGGCGCGGCGATGTGGCTGTTGTCTTTTGCGGTGCGAAAATGTCATTGATGGCGTACGGCGGCTGGCTGGTGCTTGATGGTCCTCCTGGATAGTCGATTGGGCTAGGGAGCGAGAAACCAAGGAACCTGCAGCACAGCAGCTGGAGCGGGAATGTAGGGGCGCAGTGGACCGAGGCCTGCATCTGATGCGCTTTAAGATATAGGGCTGGCGGGGTGATGAGGGCGCCGAGCCTCATTCCCTGCGGCAGCAGACGTTTTCGATGCTATAATCATTTGCCGGACGGTTGCGAAATTGGATTGGATTCTAACGGAATGGAAGGATCGTTTCCGAACGGAAGGCCCTATCCTCCGTCACGTACCGGATGTGGGGTGCGACATTACCGCATGACGGACATTACCGCGGATGTTACCAGAAGGTCGCCGGTGCTGCCCGCGCGTCCAAACACACGCACTGTCTGCCATCACAACCCGCTGCTACCGTACTTCCAACATCCAACCTTTGTACTTAGGTCACGATGACTTTTTTGGGGGGATGGGCGCAGACCTGTTCTTGAAATGATGGTGTTAATGGTGTTTCGTTTGTGGTGTTTATTCTGCATGATGGTGTTAATGGTGTTTTCGTTTTTTTCGGTGGTGTTTATTCTACTCGGTTACAATGCGAGCCGTTCTTAATGATATTAACGAGTTATTAACCAGTTGATCTCTGAAAAACATACACAGCAGGCGTTAGAAGAGAAGTGCAAGCTTCCACCGGCCTGGCGGAGGAATGTGACCCCTGTCACCCTCCAGAGGTTTGCGAGCACGCCTTCCCTGTCTGTCTCGGCGGAGTTTGAACGGCTGTGGTAAAGATTCAAAAATAGTTTTTCATTAACATGATTATGTATGATTCATCTCCGGATGACTTGTTGATCCCGTTTTCGGTGTCTGTTTGTCTGTCTGTCTGTTTCGATGTGCCTAGCTGCCTCCGTCCGTAGCACAGTGAGATAATGGCTAGATGCACATTGCCATGAGTTCGGAATCAAACACAATGTTCGTTGATTTTGGTGGCTGCACACAAAAACACATATACACGCACACATCGGGAAAAAGGGTGGAGCTGGTGTTATGCGGCTGGTTTGGGCGATAGATGGACGCTATGGAACCGTGCCGCATGTGTGAAGGGGGAGAGGCCTTACAGCACACTGCGAAGCCATTAGCCACTCCAACAAACAAAAATAATCAAGCACAGTGTGCAAGGGGAAGGGATGTATCGGCTGGGACGAAGGCGAGCATGATATGGTGAAAGAGCAGTGCTTTTACTAGCAAGTAGTGACCAAGTGGTTACTGAGAAAATAACTCCCTTATAGTTAGAAGGTTGTCACTAGGAAGTTACCTGCCATAAACCTGGTGGTCGCCTGGAAATTGGGCTGCACACCCCAGGGAGTGACCGCCGCGTGGATGGATGAAAGCTGTGATGGTTCGCTGAGTTAGGCTCGGGAACGTGTTGCCGTACGTAGAGTCAAAGTTGCTGAAAGCTTGCTCAGACGGCTTGTCCTTTTCAAGTAATTCAATAAGCTATGGACCAGTAACGGCTTTACTTGGAAATGTCCCCAAACACGGCGGCAAAGCCCGCGCGAAGTGCGTGTTACGAAACACCGACAGCACTGTCGCGGCGCCCGTGACAAAGGTGTTGTTGTTGTTGTTGTTGTTGATGGGGTGTTACACTGTGGGCGGCTCGCCCGATAAAGGACGAGCACCGGGGGCCCTGACCGGGCCGAAACACAGCGCAGGGATGGGCGCGCGGCTTTACGTCCGTCTGTTCCTCCGCGCGCGCCTCATTCCCTCACTCACGCCAACCGGGACGCTCTCCCAGCCCCTGGCTAGGCAACACAGCGGCGCAGAAGACTGCTAACCGAGCTATGCAAGAACCGCACGAAAGGCGCCACTTCGCCTGGCCTGCCTATTCACGCGCTCTCGTCTCTCTTGACTGCCAAAACAAGAACAAAAAGAAAACACCACCGGGGGCAGGGGCTCTATTCGGGGGCCTCCTCTACACACTCAAAACCCAGGGCCCCACGCAGCCAGCAAGGCAAGGGATACACGGAGGACCACGGGCCTGAGACGACGCACCACAAAAGCCGAATACGGATGCACAGAGAAGACCAACACAAAGCGAGTACTCGCACACTGGTCCTCGAAGGCCAGCTGTTCAACTACCACGAGCAACGAACAACGAACACTTCCCGAGGGTGGCCACCACTACCTCGCCGGTCCACTCACAAACGAGGCGAAACTGGTCCGCACGTCAGTCTCCTCCTGGGGGTTGCGGGCTCTCGGATGCAGCCCAGCGCGAGACACAGCAAAAACACCTAAAGCCCCGGGGGGGATGACAAGCCAGCACGGCGCCCCCCAATAAAGCCCGGAGAAGGCACGGCTCACAGACGCTGCCTGCTCCCGCTAACCACACCGAAATCCCTCCCCTCCTGACCCTGACCGGCCAGAACCAGCAACACCTGTTCTCCACCTCCAAATCACTCTTCTCCACCGCTTTCCCACCTCCTCTCCACTCCCACAAGCCACCTACGTGGTCTCTACTCTGATGCCAGACAGCACAGAACCCATTCCCCTCACTCCGACGGGCCCCAATTCCCGGGGAGAGGGCAACCACACGAGTACACAAAACACACACAGCCCGGATCCTCAACTCCCCCTGCTAGACCACGCTCAGGGCGCTGCCCCCTCGCCCTGCCCTCCACCTGCCCAGAGCCTCCCTGCTCTCCTCGCTCCCTCACCTATCCCTACTCCTGGCTTTCTCACCCCCTCCCTCACTCTCCCTGCTCCCTTTCCAGTAAGACCTCGACCCGACTCTATCTCGGCTATTTAGGCCGTGATTTCCACCGGTGCTGCGTACCGCATCCGTTCCTCCACGACCGCCAGGATGGGGTGCTGCGGCCCGACTCTGTCCCAGCCGTGTCTGGGGGTCTCCAGCATTGCGAACGAGCGCAGACGCGCCCAGAAGTCTGCCACCGCCCGGGCGCGTGCGCGGGCCAGTGGCGAGGCTCCTGTTGCGCACGCTGTTGCTGCTGCTGCCACCGCCTCGCCCCCTCCCGCCCCTGCTTCCTGCGTTGGCCCGCCCTCCGCTGGGGCGTTTAGGGTGGGTCCTTCTTGCTGCATTGCACCTCCCGCCGGGGTGAAGAAATCTGTGATGGCCCGCTGGCGGGATCTCTGCTGCTGTGGCTGCCCCATCATCTGTCGCTGCTGCTGCTGCTGTCCCGCCGTTGCTGTCGCCCACCTCCGTCCCTGTCGCCGGGTTGCTGCTCGGAGGCAGCACCTGCCGACTTCCATGGCGGATAGCGCCGCTAGGGCGATCACATCCCAAGGGCTCTGCTCACACCCGGGTGGCGCTTGGGCAAGCCAGAGCTGCTGCCGGGTGGTGGTGGCCCCTACTGTTGTCTGAGTGTGTGGCAGGTGCCTGTCGATCTGCTCCCGTACGGCACGTGCGACTGTTGTTGTTGTTGTTGTTGGTGGTGGTGGTGGTGGTGGTACAGAGTGGGAGGCTTCTGGGCGCATGGAACACATTTGGATTGTCCTATCTAGGATTGAACTCCGTACAGCACCGTCCACCATGACCACACTGTACTGTACGCCATACGAACTGGAAGTCCAAGGCGGTTGGTTCTACTTTACAAGCACTGCAAAAGGGGTTGTTGTTGTTATGTGAGGGCTAGGTACGGAAGTGCATTGTACGGATGTGCTCAGGTATTTTTCGAAAAATACAGGAATTCCTGTATTGTGTGGTTGCTAGCATTAACGAACCTGTCGATATATGTATCGAGTATTTGGTGATAGAAGCAAGGTACGTTGACAAGCTGCATTACTGAGCGCACTTTTGCTTCTTGAGATGCAGGGCGTAATATGTAGACAAGCGTGGGGGGGGAGATGGGACTGATGAGCCGCTGGCCCTGTTTGTATGTTTCCGTGTGTACAATGACACGCGATTCCGTGCGGCCCGGCGTACATCAGTGCCCGTACTATATGATGTGTGGGACAGGGGGGCATATTATAAGCCGTGGCTGCTACCTGGCGAAGTCCTGCCTTCCCGGTATTTCGGGGCATCCAGTCACCCTAGCTGACTACTCAATGGGTCACTCAAGTTCGGCACCTTCCATTGGCTATAATCCATCGAAATCTGTCGGGTCAACGGCGGCTCAATTCCATTCCTGATCGATTTGCAGGTCTACATTTACCTAGATATCCATGGCCATTGGCTCATGCGATCCACCATCAGAAGAAATATCGACCCTGATAAGTTTCGATCCTGGAACCTCAGGGGGCATCGGTATGTGTGTTACCAGTAGTGCCTGACCTGTGTATACGTATGTTTATGTATATGGGATTTCAGGAACTTTAGGTGTTGCTGTGGTGACGGCCGGCGCTGCATGCCAACAGGTCCTTTATTACCTTGCCGGCTCGCTCGTCATCGGCCAGGCGTACTGATGCTGGCATGTTTATTTTAAACAGAACAAGTTCTATTGAAGCCATGGAGGATGGACTCGCATCTGCGGTCTATATGAACAGCTGTACGGCACAGACCCATGGGCTGGGATGAGCCGCGGATCCCCGGGTGACGCTAAGACTTACCCATCGACGACACCGGCTGTGGCAACATGGAAGCACGCTGCCATCAGTCCAGCAGGAATTACATCTGCCAACGAAATCATAAAGTCACCGTCAGCAACAACCACCCATCAGATTTTGAAGCTTCTAGCTCCCGTTGTTCCGTTGTTGGTTGTAGTGACCCACATCTCCAAGCAATACAGCAAAAATAACAAATGCTAATAATAATAGAAGAAGAAGAAGGAGAACTTGAACAAGACAGTCGCCCAATAGCCATTCGCAGCTGGATATCATAACCTATCCAAACAACAACTCACAATATTTTGTCATTCAGTGTTCCTTTCGTGTCACATTCAATGCACATCCACTCAATGCACATAATAAACAGGACCAAACCGCAGCAGACAGCATGCGTTGAGTGGCAGTTTTGCTCAGGGGTTTTGCAACAAGGGACAGCAAGAGATCACCACCAAGAGTAAAAGGTCATAAATAGAACAGTAAGAAAGACGAATCACATCAAACAATGTGGGCATGTTAAAAAAAACACTCATGCGCTAGCTCACGTGCAGGCGAGACACACATAGTAAATAGGTACACGCTCATACAAGGGTGCGAGGCACTAAAATCTCATATCGTATGATGCACACACACACACATACACACATACACACACGCGCCTACGCACACACACGCGCGCGCCTACAATCACACATAAGGCTGGAGAGAACGCGAGCGCCCATGCACCCATGCGAAAAGCTGTGATCTGCCCATCTGGTCGCACGCACGCTAGTTGTACCCACCGCGCCGCCATCCTAACAGGCCTAATCCCCCAGCCCATCATCAAGCCCAACAGCTCGAGGCCGGCTGCTCGAAGCTGCGGGACGTGCGGCTGAAGAACAGCGCCCGGACGCCCAAGCAGCATATCCAGTACCTGAGCGCGAACAAACAGGAGGCCGGGTTCAAGGGCGACCCGTGAGCACCTGCAAGGGGTTCGCTAGGGCGTCCGGCCCCTTTTTTCGTCATTCTCATGGACAGACGAGCGAAGGCTTTGCTTGCTCTGCCAAATGCAGCCCCAGCTAATCCTCCCCAGGTGTACTCCAGCCCCAACCAGGCCAGCAGCCCGAGCCGTGTGATCAATCCTCCTGGAAACTGCGCGACCTCTCATCCCTTAACAGGCCCCCCCCCGGGCCCCGGACAGCGCCGCAGCCCCCATCCCTCACTCACTGAAAGCACCCCTTCACACAGCCCAGGACGGGGCCGCAGTACGGGTGCTCCTCATGCAAATCCAAAGAGATATCCTCGAACCCGGTGGTTCTTAAGACGGGTTTAGGTTGCAATACAGCAGTCCAGCACGGCAAGGACGTGGGGGAGGGGGGGACATGCGGCGGGGTGTCATGGAAGGGGGGAATAAAATGCGGGGGAGGGAAAAGGGAATGGTGGCGGCACTATTGAGGGACAGACACGGAAGATACCGAGACGGACGCGGGCGCGGGGGAAGGAAATACCCGGACACGGCCCTGCCTGCCTCAGCTATAGCAGAATAGGATGCAGAAATAGGAGCACAGGCCTCGCAGCTTGGCCCCGGCAGGAAAGCTAAGAGCCTCCATGCTATGTTGCGCACAACCGCAAATCTATCTTGCGCCTGCAGATGAAAGCTCTTTTGGCAGAGCATGTGGGAAGGCACGGTGCCCCTGGCACCCCTTCCCCCCTCCGCACTCCCTCCCAGGCCACAACCCGCCTACCTTACCCTCGCGGCATGGCAGTTGACCCTAACCGCGAACTCCAACAACCCCCACCCTTTCACCTCATCCGGCGACTTCCCCACACATCGCTGCCCCTGCCTCTTCCCCAGCAGCAACACTCCGGCACGGCACCTCAGCCTCCTACCGGGCGCAAAAGTCCAGGCACTTGTAGTATCCGCAAAAGTCCTTCCACTCCATCCAAAACGTGCCGTCATCTGTGGGCTTGAAGTCCAGAGCGCGCTTCACCTGGTGAGTTACGATAGGTGGGGGGTTGGCTGGTTTCAGGAAAACGTGGGGGACATTATTATTACCCCTGCAAGGTGAAGAGGAACCTCGCCATTGCTTTTGTTCGTGCTAGTGGGCATGGGCATGGCCATGGGCATGGGCATGGACAGCAGTACGCACTCCGCCAGGTGTGCGTTAATCCCCACGACATGGCGACACGACACAGCGCAGCGCTGCACCGGGGCCCCAGGCCGGGCGCTCCACAGAGCACCCTTGGCCGCACACCGCACGCCGCACAACGTTCACACAGCCCGCTACTTACCTTGGGGTTCTCCTCCCACAGCGGGCTCGTGTCGCTCCAGGCGCCCTTCCACTCAAAGGTGCCCCAGGGGTTCCTGTCACTCGCACAAATGTTTTACAAATATGGTGCAGATGGGAGATACTAGAGAGGTAGTTTGTAGGTAGTTACAAGTGCGGGGTCGACAAGTCTTTACCGAACGCGGAGCGAGTATACAATTGTGTGGATTAGGAGGGTAGCAGCTTCACCTGAGGTCATGAGCCTGGCAGTCCCTACTTACCCCGGCATTTCGGGTCATGCTCAACCCATGCCGATGTTCGCGGTGTCAATAACTTTTACCAAATTAGCAATCACCAAAAGCATTCAGTGAAATCTGCCAGATTACCGCCGGTGTCAACTCCACTCCTGGTCAGCACGCAGAACATTATATATATATGGATATATATGGATATATATATATGGATATATATGATCAAAATGGATATATATATCCAATGGATATATATATATATATATATATATATATATATATATATATCCATATATATGGATATATATGGATATATATATATGGATATATATGGATATATATGGATATATATATATATATATCCATTGGATATATATATCCATTTTGATCTGCATAAAGATTCATCCACCCTCTTACGACCATAATAGATTTCGCTATCGATCATGCGACCTTCCAATATCATGATGCTGCAACTTAGCAAACATGGCATGAGAGTACCTTGTCAAAGTTTCACCACCTCACTATATAGCACAACACCGCTCCAAAGCCCAACCTAAGACGACCACCCACCTCAGCTGGATCAATTGGAAGCGGTCCACTCGTTTGACGTTGCAGATGGCGTACGCGTGGCCCTGAGGTACAGCATTTGCGCGCGCTGGTGTGCTGTGGTGCAGTAAGCAAGACGGCCACTTAGAGACCGCCGTACAAGCTGCCGTGCGTCGCTTACCTGTACAATTCCATTCACATCCTGCGTGTCGTTCCCGCTGCCCGAGCTGGCTGCAATGAAGCTCTGTTTGCGGTTGTAGTACATCATGCTCTGCAAACAAGCCATACCACGTCGGAGCGAAATGATAGGGAAGCTACTCGATAGGGGGAGGAGGTGAGGAGAGGGAGGTGAGGAGGAGGAGGAGAGGGGGCGGGAAGGGGGAGGGGTCCCGCAAGGGTGACCCAGGAGGAGAGGCCTCCGCACATTGCCCGCCCTTATACTTCATGTACGTTTCTTACGTTTCACTTCTTCCCCTCTCTCCAATCTCCTCATCCCTCCATCCAGTTTCTGTCTTTCCCTCTGCCTTCCCCGCTTTCATTGTCACTCTCTTCCCCCTCGCACGTGTGCAAGAATACCAATACACACACTCTCTTTTGTTTCTTCCGCTTTCCCGGAGTTTACCTGGCTTATGGGTTGCTTATCTGGCTTGGGGCCGTTACATGCCCTTAGTGCCGTCGACATACACACCTGTACATGCCGTCGCCAAGTTATGATCCCCCATCTCCCCCCTGCCCCTTTCCGCTCTCTTTCTGCCCCCTGCCCCCTTCCTCCTGCCCACAACAAGGAGCCACCCGCGCACGTGGCGTAACGCGGCGTGGCGGGTGCGAGTCCGCACAACCACGAAGGAACTTAAAACCCTAAAGCCACCCCCCCCTACACCCCCCGCCCACACACACAGGCGCGCGCGCACTCGCAATAAAAAAACAGATACACACACTAAACATGGCGTCGCTGTCCAGCACGTCTTCAGAGGGCCGCAGCAGGACATCGTAGCCGCCACTCTGCGCCTTGGGCTGGTGTACGATATCAAACCGCTTCCAGGCGCCTGTCTGTGCAGAGGTCACCGTTCAGGGGGAGCCAGGGGGAGCCAGGGGGGGTTGTTGGTTCCCCAGTCCAGGAGGAAGCGGACATTAGCGTGTGGGACGGCGGTGCGTCAGGGAAGAGGCTCGGTGACCGGGGGCCCAGCGTGTAAGACTGGAGAAGGCGGACTTTTAACCACGTCGCGTACCTTACACTGTCCATGCCGTCGCGTACCTTGCTGTCCATGTTAAACTTGAACACGTAGTCCCCGGTGAGGCACTCCAGAGCCCACATGGTGCTCCCGCCATCCAGCTTGGCGTAGGAGCCCTGGGAGGGTTTTCTTCTTTTGTAACCTTTATTAGTCTTAACCGGAAAAACTAGACGACTATATATAATATATATATAAACTTAAACTAATCCATTTTTCCAAGCGTTGGAAACTCATCCGTTAAGAATTGGGAGGTGAGAGCTGAGGGTTGAGGGTCGAGGAGGTGAAGACGTGTGTGTGTGTGTGCGTGTGAGGGTACTGACGCACGTGTACAGCTACAATATAACCCACGGGGGGTTCACCCCCCGGGGGAGAACCCCTTCGCACTACTTTCCCCATTCCCCATTCCCTATTCCACAACCTTCACGACGATAGCCCCCTGTGTACAAGCGGCACGGGCTGTTATGCCTAGTCGCACCTTGAATTTGGCCATGGCCTTCTCCAGCAGCAACACCCACGCCTCGTCTCCGTTGGGCTTGGCAAAAATCGGCCTGCCGTCCTGGCCGCAGGGAATCCTGGGAAGCATCGGGGAGATCCGCGTCGCGTGGATCGTAATCTTAGCCACAGCCGCAGACGCGCAGCATCGGTGCAGCGGCAATCCCCGCCGGGCATTTCGACGTAGGTGAATGTGAGCGACGTGGAGTCAACGGCGTCCAGACGGATTTTTTAAAGGATCTTCAGAAATGCCGTTGTCGCTTTACCAACAAACCAATCCGCAAGTTAAAAATCCGCTATTCAACGACCCTGAAGCAATCAGCTGGCATACTGCTGCGCACACACATGTTCGTGCTCGTGCCCGCTTCTGCTAAACATCATGGATGGTGGTATTAAAGGCCCAGCGAGACAAAGCTCAAGCACTCATACGCGCGGGTGGAGGCAACGCACCAGTCGTCCACTGCGATGGTCACCCACGCTTCCTTCGGCGCATCGTACAGCCGTACTTTATACTTGCCGTATGCATTGTATTCCTTAGTCAGGAAAACCTGTTGGCAGGTTAGCGCCAATGGACACGGCATGCCCGGTATGACACGCAGGATACGAGATGCGCGGGGGAACAGCTAGGAATGACCCGTGGGTCTGCACTCTACGGCGCACCAACTTGTGCAGCCCCCGCACAAAATGTTATATTCCCTCTGCGTCACCTCCCATTGCCGCCCATTCCACCCTCATCTTGCTCCACCCTCATCCTTCGCACCCATTCTCATGCCCGCCCCGGGCCTTCCCGACGCCATTCATCCACCTATAGCCGCCCACCCACCCACCCACCCACCTGCTGCACAGCTCCCTCCTGGTTTGCGAGACACGCCAACGCCGACATGAGCCAACAGTCCCCCAGCTGACCCTGACAGATGTCACCGGGCTCGATCCGGTCTGGAGGCGGTCAGGCCACCGACATCATACGACCACACGGCCACAGCGATGCACGGGTCGTGGACACAGCAGGTGGAGGGGCGGGGGAGATGGCGTGGGGGAGCGAAGCACGTGCTTGGGTTTGGGTTTCTTGTGCTTTCATTACCCAACACGGCGCCGTCACCCTTCCAGATCCCTCCCGGCTTCCAAGAGCCTAGAGCCGCGATGTGCAGTCCGCGGGATCCGCCGCCGCGGGGACTACGCACCTATCCAGCGGCCCCTTCCCTGCCTGACCCTTAAAACCCACAGGTCCACACGCTCATGTGTCCAAAACCCACGTGCTAGCCCCAACACACTTCCGACCCCCGACCCCCGACCCCCGAGCGCAGGCCCCTACACCCCATTATCCGTTATCGCGCCAGGCGGTGCCTCCACTGCCCCCATCCAGCGCACCCATTCTCTCCATTCATCATTACACTCACCCGCGAACAGCTTCGCTCCGGTCCGGCTGCTGGCCGCCACGATATCCGCAATCCGCCGCCTGCGCCATGCCGGACCGGTCAGGAAAAGCAGCAGTGGGCCACGGCATCCTTTTCCCTTCGCACCGACTCGCGACGAAACTTCCCCCTCCCCCGGGTAAGGTCTGACAAGGGTGAGGGGGTGCGTTCATGTTGGCTCTCGCCGCGAGGGAGCGGTAGCGGCTGACGGCTGGTTTGGGGAGGGAGGGTGCCGCAGCTGGCAGCAGTGTGCCGCTAGCAGCAGCCGGCGTTACGGCGGCATGTCCATCATCGTCCAACCTGGGGGCTAGCAGGCTAGAGGTGCGATGAAACAAATCATAGCCCCAGCCAACCAGGTAAATGGACTCGCGCTGGGTCAAACCGGGCATCTGAAACCGGCCTGCAGCCTGCTTTCCCTTCCTTCTGATGGTAGATCTGAACCCCCCGCTTACGGCCTGGCCACCATCCCTTGCCCAGTAAGGCCCCATTACTGGTAACCTTTGGAGCACAAACACGCTCACCACTGCACTTCACTGTCGATCTGTTCCGGAGTCTTATTCTTCCACTCTCCTATGGCGGCATGGCTGTGTGGAAAGGACTTATCCTGGTGACGGTGGTGTGAGGCATTGTCACGATGGGCGGCAGGGCAGGGCAGGGCAGGGCAAGGCAGGGCGGGCGGGCGGGCGGGGAACTGTTGTTTAGGGGCTACGAGCATTGCACTGAAGGTAGGTACACAGCCACTTGATGATACCTATTCAGCCAGACACATAGGCGCGTTAACTGCCCAGAGTACTTCAATAGACATATGTACATAGACAGGTACGCAGGCTTGTAGCTAGGTACGCTATGTAGGTAGGGTTTGCACTGCTTAGATGCGATACTTAGATTATAACTAGGCATGTAAGAAGGTGGCTAGGCAATCATTTAATGCCCTTCAGTCGTGCTTAGGTGAGACTGGACTGGATAGAAAAATAGGCGAACAGGGAAAGCAGTTTAAACAACCAGATTTAGATGAAGGTATAGATAGATAGATAGATAGATAGATAGTAGATAGATAGATAGGTAGCGTGGGACGCTTCCCGGCCCCCGGGGACAGAGGCCTGTCCGCGGGAGAGAGCTTAGGCGGTCATTCCGTTGGGGTTGGGCAGCAGGCCCTGGCCAACGTCAGGCCCGGTCAGATACTTGTAACTTGTAATACACACGCGCAGGCACACGCAGGCACACATAGCCACAGCCACACACACAGGTCCAGCCATCATACACCACAGCCACATACAGAAAACGAACAACAAGGCACATGCCCAGCCTTTGGACGCTCAGGTTCTGGCTGGAAGCTCTCGGCACCTAAAAATCCCACGAGCATACCACGCCCTGATGATGGCGTCTCAGAATGGGAATGACTGCAACAGATAAAAGCCTGCTATTAGGCACGGGAAGGTTGCGATGAAGACATACCTTGAACGTACAGTGACAGCAGACGCACATGCCGCATAGGATGCCGCGCCCCAGGCGCGATGCATACACCAGAATGCATCCAAGGAAATAAATCCTACAAGACAGGGATAGGGTAGCCGGGCGGAGCCGAGGCCCTTCAAAACGTCACAGCGTGCAACTGGGTTCTCGCGTGGGTAAACTAGAGAGTGGGTACATAAAACGCGTCTGTGAGCGTAGGATTAGCTGAAATCACCAATGAAAGCAAGTTGAGTACAGCGTTGGGGTTTGAAGCATTTGGAAAGGGTGGCAGGTCCCAAAGAACGTCACCGGTTCTTGGGGCAGTTGGGTAGGCTTGCGTACAGTACGGTTGGCACCAGCACACATGACATCAGCGTCCTACCAGAATATTTGAGTAACTACCTTATAGCTTGAAAGACTAAAATGATTGGCCAGAAGATAGCCTTGCCAATGCACGTCCACCTAGAGGTTGTACACCCATCGGCAGGTGCTGGCATTCCTTTCCGCCTGCTTGCTGATGTGATCCAATTGAAGTTGTGTTATTGTTTTGATAAAAAATGTAATGACTCCAAGAACGCGCGAGACATTTTTCAACTATGACACAGCCGTTCGTCCAGTAGTTGACTTGGTCATAGTGGATTGTCTTAAGGCGTCCTGGGTCAGAGAGGGTACACACAACATTCCTGTATATTGCCAGTATGATGCCTATTGACTTGTCTAGCAGCTTGTCCTGCTCGTACTGAGTACAACACACGGTTTCTTTCTCTGCGGGCTTCTCCTTACCGACATACTATCAACTGCTAGACACAGACACATCGCGACTACCAACAAATAATTGATGGCTTGGACAACCTTTTATTCTAAGCCAGGTGACTTGAAAGCTCAGCCGGTTGAAGCTTTATAACAGAAATTATTGTATAAGGAGTGAAGTTAAATCCTCAGCTGCTCATTTCTTGCAAGTCGCTAGTAGGAGTTCAGCTCGAACTTCTCGGGCGCCTAGCCGGTTACGTACCTTCCGGCTATGGAGCGCCATGTATTGGCACGGGACTTGTCTACAAGGATAAACTGGAGCTAACGCTGGTCCCTCTCGGGGATGGCAGGTAAACGGCCCTTCGCCTCGCTTGCGTGCGCTCTGCGGCCTTGCACGCCTGCGAAAAAGGAAGTGTCGCTACAGAAGCTGTGCTTATGCACGTCAGCAAGGTGTAGCGACGGACTCAATAGATTGTAGTGCTAAGGGGTCCCTTAAAGTTCCGCTTCTGTGTTCTGCAGACGACGACCCGGGACCTCGTCGTCCCGGGCCGGCAACCAAACTGAGCTGGACAACAGTCCTACGCAAGGTCTCCTCTGCAGCAAATGGTGAGGCTCCTGCCTCCTCACTACACGTGTAGTGCTGCCGCACACCTACCCAGTGCTAAAGCATAACTAGTCGCCTCTGTATTTGGAAAAATGAAAATGCATTGCACAGGTATAGTCCTACATAGCTGGGAGGGCTTGCAGCTGCGATGCAGCCCGCTAATACGATGGCACTTCTAGCCTGGCATGATTAGTTTTTTACGTAATAGGGCGTTTTTATCAACTCAATTAAACGCTTGGTTCTTGAAGGCATGGCGTAGGGAGCGAGCTGCTTGCTATAACGGTGACTATCCGCGCTTCGGTCTGCACCTAACAGATATGGGAGCGGGAGATACTGGGGACAGCCCCAAGGTCGCTGCCACGCATCCCATCAGCCGCCCGTCATCGAATGGGCCAACAAGTTTCCGCCAAGTCACGCGGACGGGCAGCAACGTGGGAATACTTGGGCTGTCGGGAACCAACAGCCTGGGGCCGAAGGAAGGTGCAAGCGCTAGCGGTGCACTTGGGGGCCGCTCCCACAGCGTCCTTCATGCTGGCCTGCTGGCTCCGGGGCAGGGGAATGGTACGACAGCTGATGTCGTCACTGCCGTCAAGGATTTGCAGCTTCGGAAGCGCAGCATTATGTTCCAGCAAACCGCCAGCCAGACGGGCCCCAGTCTACAGACACGCACGGGTTGTTTATCGACCTACTTCTTCGCGCCTAACCCAACACCGGGCAAGGTCAGTTTTCTCTGGGTTATGTTCCTGTTCGCATGATCGCACCACTGGGCGGCTAGCTGTGGGCGTTGGCGTATACCTCAAATGCTAAGCGTGTGGATAAAGAGGACATAGCCTTTTTAGTGCAGGTTGATGGCTTCCGCATCCCATGCATTCGCACCTCAGTCACGTTGTTTTGTGCGCTCACAATGGCCGACACTGCAACGATAAGCGACATTGCCTGCACGTTTCACGCCCTCGAACAGGGTGTATGCTTTTCTCCCGACGGTGCATACGTCATGCGCTGGGGGTATGGCACGGATGTGAAGCTGCTGTCGGCGGACGACGGGGTGTTAGTAGTGACGATTACGGGGCCTACTCCAGGTGCTGTGCGCTACGCCACATTCAATTCCGATGGAAGCAAAGTGGCGGTTGCCACTGAAGACTGCAAGGTGGGTTTCGCGCGCAGGGATTGGCCTGGATGGCGGAAGGTAACGTGATGCGGAGGCGCGCGAATTTGCTTGGTCTGCGCTGCAAACTATGCCCCTGCGGACGTGTTAGTAAGGAAACGCTGAATCCCAAATGTCATAATGCAGAAATGACGGAGGCATTTGGGGCGTCTTAGGGGTTGTGCTTTGCGACAGGGGATCACGCAAAGGTTGCTTTGGGCTAGTGTAAGTTACGCAAATGTTGCGTGGCAGCCGCAGTGATGTGTAACGGTAATCCCGGTTGTATCCGGGGATCGAGACCGCGACTTCCCGCTTCCAACGGAGTCCAGAGCTTTGACCTAAATTGCGCTGCATTGGGTTTGCAGGTCTGTGTATGGTTGACCGCCAACAAGCATCTCGTAAACATGCTCGACGTCGGCGCGGAGCCGCTGGCGCACATTGTGTTTAGCCGTGATGGCAGGCATTTATTGTCCTGCGACGACGAGGGGCAGCTGGAGCTCTGGGACGTCACCGAAGGTAGGGCAGGAAGAAAGGCGAGTTTCAGGAGCTAGGTCAAGGACCTGCTTTCGAGGGGTCCGTAGGTTGGCCTCTGCAGTAATGCTCCAGGCGCGGATTGGGCTTGGGATGTCCCCATGCCCAGCTCGCATGCCGTTGGCTATGCGCTCCTTGGTTGGGGTGCGGTGACGTACTTTACAGTTTTGCTGTTGCGCATTCTTAGCGGCTGCACGAAGGTGGATTCTGGGTGGGGAGAGCAGATTCAGGGATGGGAAGTGGTGGTTCGCTAGCTAAGGTCTTGGCTCGGCAGCGAAGCCATGGATGGATCATTTGGGTCACACGTACCTTGGGCGGAAGTCATCTTGGGCACACGCGACATGGTAATGGCAGTGACATGACTTAAAGTATCAGTCCCCAATTTGCATAAGTAGGCCGGGGATTGTGATTGTGCTGGGGATGTGTCTGTTGTCCGCGCTCACTGATGCCTTCCGGGGAATGCCGCTTCGCAGCGAGGATGTTGCGGAGGTACGACACTGGTCATATCAGCAAGAAGTGCGGCTTCAGTGCCAACGGCGATTCGGTGATGTCGTGTGCGGGCGACGACTGCGGGCTTGTTATGTTGAGCACGCGCACGGGCGGCGTCCAGACGACGCAGTTGTATGAGGAGGTGGCCGAGTGTCGTAACCGCGCCTGCTACGTCATCAGTCCGGACGGCACAAAGGTGAGGCACGGGGGCCGCAGCTTAGGAGTCCGGGTTGTGGCCTGGGTGCTGGGATGCGCTCTGCCTCGGCTGCATGTTTGGGGGGTTGAGCTGGGAGGCGTGCTTTCATAGCCGGATGAGGATGACCGACAGTCCGGTGTGTGGCAACCTGTTATGGACGCATTGCAAGGGATGACAGGGCTTTTACGGTCCGTATGGGATTTTTGTTAGCTTTGCTTGGTCCAGACTATGCTCCTTAACCCGTTTTTGACCGCTCGCGCAGGTCTTGTTGTTCATCCAGGAACAGGTTTACGGCATTAACTTGGTGGTGTACCACACGGAGACGGACGTGCACATACCAATGGTGGTAAGTGTTGTGTTTCGCGCATATTCATGATGGGGGCAATCGGAGTGGCACACTAGCTAGGTTAGGTTGTCATCACGCCAGGTAAAGCACAGCGCCTTAGAGAGTGCTGGTCTGCGGAAGGCTTTAGATGCGCTTTTTTGCCACGCCCAGAAAACAATTATGCATCCCAGTTGTTGGAGTGCGAAATCCTAATTATGGACTTGTATTTAACGACCTAGATTTACTTACAGGTGCAACGTTATGTCTCACCTACTGGCGCGTTCCCCTCGTTTCTGGGAAAATGCTATCTGTATATATTAAGTTGTCACGTCGAAAGTCCTATGCTTTTGTTTGTGATTGTTAAGAGGCCCTTAGTAGGATTTTATCGTGCTGCGACTAAGGAAACGTTTTTGGGCATAAGCGATACCATTTGAGGCTGTTATAAGTTAAATAATAATTTATTTATAATTTGAGAGTGTCTCCGAAATGGTTTTGGCTTTGCAAGTTATGTTTGCCGAGGTTCGCACAATAAATCTACGGGCAATGTCATAACGATTTTCATGCGCGGCGATAAAGTGATGAAATGAGTGATGAAATGAGTATGACTTGAGATCAAAAACTGTTTATTTATGTAATAGTGTATTCCCGTACATTACCTGCGATATCATGCGTCTGCGTTTCTCTCGCGCCCATGTGGCAGGTATGCAATGGAGCCGTAACGCATGCGGACTTCAGCAATGATTCATCTCTCTTTATAACTGCTGGTCGAGATGACCTCATACACGTGTGGGAGAGCGAAACGGGAATGCTCCGTACGACTCTTCAGGGCCATGCCAGTGACGTGATGTTTTGTAAGGTGAGCTGTGCAGCGCGGGACCTCACTCCGACATCAGGGATGGGCGCAACGACAATGGTTCGCGTGCGGCGGGTAGCCACGGGCAACTAGGTAGGGTTTCGGTCAAGAGCTGCTTCGCGTTGTGCATAGAACCTGTGCAAATCCCCCTTATCAAGCCCAATGATGGCCCCTCCCTTTGCCAACAAATAATACTTGTTACCCATCTTTAATTGATCTAAACATCGGCCAAGTGTAAGGGAAGGATCAGCTTCCAAGTAATGATGAGCCTTTTCCATCTGTCCAGACATGCCGCAGACCCGGAGCTTCGTCGAGTTTGCATACCTTGATCCGCCCCCAACCTCTTCCCCAACCCCGTGCACAATACAGATTTCTGACGACGGCGAGGTTGCAGTCAGCGGCGACAGCGAGGGCACGGTGCTGGTCTGGACCCTGTCAGACAGCGCGTGTGTCATGCGGCTCCAGGCACATTCCAGCCCCATTGCTTACGTGGACGTGAACGCGGACGGCACGCGCGCGCTGACTGTGGACACCGAGGGCCATGCGTTGTTGTGGTTCCTCGATGCGGCCCGTGCCTTTGAGGTCCTGCGGCAGCACTCGGACTTGGTGTGCTGCGTGGCGCCCTCGCCGGACGGAAGCAGCCTAGTCGTGGGATACAAGGACGGCTGCCTGCGGTGTTGGAACGTGTGCGATGGGCCCGGGCTTGTGGCGTCGGTCACGTGGACCCACTCCAAGCAGGTGTGTGTTGCTGTGGCCGCGCTGGTAGCATGTGCGGACACTATGTCGTGTGAAGCGGGGCCTGGGCCATAAAGTTGGAGGGAAGGCCAGGCAACGGCACCAAAATTTGAAGTGGATTTGCCGAGAATAGGAGGCGAACGTGGGCACTATGTGCGTGGTGACGACAGCATTCAGCATGCTCACGGCAAGGAAGCTGATGAGCCGTGTGTATAGGAGAATGGATGGGTCGATGCAGCTATGCTGCTGTTCCATATCTATGTATGTATGCAGCCCGTTTCCGCGAAACACTGTCAGTAAACGCCGGTGGGAAGGCGTTTAGTTTGGGTATCGATACCTTGCTTTTCGTGCGTTATTGTTAAATCAAGCGCTTGGTTTACAAACCCGCCTCACAAGCATTGATCTGTGCAAAGGATAGTAAGCCCCGGCGCGGAGCTTGTGTCAACACAGTCGGTCTTGCGTTTCATTGACACGGCGTATGGGAACCTCTGTAGGATTCCCCCGTGGAGCAGCTGGTCATGCGGCCCGACGGCGCACAAGTGGCATCGGCGGGGCGAGACGGCATGGTGGTGGTCACCGATATGCGGCGGGGCCTCGTGGTGGCGGCGCTGAACGCGCACACCGACTTCGTCACTGGGCTGCTGTTCAGCGAGCGGAGCGATCTACTGGTCACCGCCAGCCGTGTTGGAGAGGTGTTCGTTTGGAACGGTGAGGCGTGACGGGGATCAGTGGCCAGTGGTTTGCCAAGGGTAGCGCCGGCGGCGCCGACGGCAACCCATTCTAGCCTTTCTATGCGCAGTGGGTGGGGGGATGAAAGAGGAAACAGTGAGTGAGAAAGGAGTCATCGCGTGTATTGGAACGCACGGCTTACTGTGTGAGGGCGGAGCAGGGGAGCGCGGGTTTCAGGCCATCCTCGCGGTGGATATCGTGGCTTAGCTTCAATGGAGAATACGGCTGCTAGCGCAGTGCTGGATCGGCAGTCAACAAATGAACAGGACCTGCAGCATCAGTCCCATGCCCTTCGAAGGTATAAAATCCCTCAGCGCGATATCTTGTCGCATCCGCCTGGCTCGTCATGGCCGTGCTGCTGTGATCCCTGCCATGCACAAGATACATGTACTGCCCGTCTCAGACCTTACCGGAACGCCCCTGCCTTGTTCTCCCTGCGCCATGCGCGTGCAGCCAAGGCGTACGGCTTGGTGCCACTTCGGCAGCTAGAGGTCCCAGAGTTGACGGAGGTCGCATCGCTGGCCATAAGCCCGAACCAGGCCTTTTTGGCAGCGGCGACGGCGGGCGGCTCCGTGCATGTATGGAGCTTGAACAGCTTCGTGTTGCAGGTAGGTCCGTCCGGGACACTTTTCGTTTTGTTGCTTGGCCTAAGGCCAAAGGGTGCTCGACATTCCGGCCGGTTTCCTTCGTCGCCCTACAGTCCGATGTCAAGGTGACGGACCTGCCGGCGACGCGGCTTACCTTCAACGCGGACGCTTCCGTGCTGGCTGTGGGCTCGGCGGACGGCAGCGTGACTCTCATCGACCCCCTAACAGGCACCAGGTATGGTTTGCGTGAATTGCTACCAGGCCGTGCTGCAGCGGCGCTGCAGGGGTCATCGTTACCAGGGTGTGCTTGCGGTCACCACCAGCCTGCTTAGTTTTCACTGTATACTGTTTTGAATGGTAGCCCAGAAATCTTGATTTCGCATCCAATTGACATATCCCCGGTCAGCGCATTGTGGTGTGGCATATGGTAGTCCTGGAGATCTCTCTTCGTCTTTGGTTGTTCCCTGATGTTCTGTGCTGTGGGGCCATGTATGTTCTGCATGTACTGCAGGGCGGCATATTACAAGGGCAACGCATCAAGCATCAATGACGTGGCTTTCCTGCTGAAGCCGGTACAGTGGGGGGACACAGGGTCATGTTATGCATGTCTGCCTTTATCCACCTGCCTGCTGGAACTACAGCACCGGTTGCTCGGGGTAGCTTTAGGTTTGGGTCCATGAGGAGCAGGCGCAGCCCTGAAGGCTTCGTGTTTGGTGCAAAAGCGCGAGGGCGTGGTGTCTTGGATTGGCTGTAGGGGGGCATACACTCAACCGAAAACGATACGCCGTCGGTTAAAATCTTACCGGACGCGGCACGGCATGTGCGAGATGTTAGTTTTCGCGGGGGGTTGAAGCAGATCTCCCCTGGACCGCGTTTCTGATTCTTTGTTTTGTGTGGTTCCTGTCGCAGGAGCACATCCTGCTGAGCGTGTGCGGCAGGCAGGCTATCAAGTGGGACTGCCATAGGAGCACCATTCACCACGTGACGGACTTCATCGCTGATAGTGAGTTTTCCCCAAGGAAAAACAAGGATTTCTTTTAGGAGGACGTATTCCTGTGCGGAAAAGTGGAGTCTTACCATTAGTGAGCATTGGCTTTACCAGCGAGATTCCGAGATAGTGATTTAGGTGCTGCCGCGGCTTTAACAAAGCTTTACTAGGAATGGCCCCGATGTCCAAGCACCCTGGCAGCGCAGCAGGAATAGGCGTCGCTTTCCAGTGCATTATGAAAGCGCAGAACTGGAAGGCACTCGTTTCCCGAAATGAAACCTATGTACCTGTTATGCCACACAAGCACGGTAACACAAGCACGGTAATACACCCTGGCAGCACACAAGCACTCGGACGGCCGTCCACTATGCGCTTGCGTCGCGTTTGGGCTCTATCTTGTTCGAGGTTGCCACCTTACCATTCGTCCCCGCTCCCGTCTTTCTCCATGCCCCGCAGACAGCCGCATCTTCTCCTCCGAATCTATAGGATCGCTTCCTAACCGCGCCTGCGTCGCACACGACGCTGTCGTGCTGTACGATCCTATCAACCACGCTGCCATGTACGACATGGTCCCGCGCCCGCCTGAACAGCATCCTGGCAACAGCTACTTGTTCCGGCACGGCACGGCGCTGACGTCCGGCACTAACGGCCACCCGATGGTGCTCTTCTGCGCCCCCGACACGACCGTCCACATGCTGAGCGACGAGACCAGCGGAACGCGCTGCCTTGATTTTTCCTCCGACGGGCGCCTCCTGGTAAGCCGCAGTGGAGTTTCGATGCCCGTGTGCGACGCTCAGGCTTTGAAACCAGTCCAATTGGGCTGTGGACTGAGCTGCAGGCGTAATCCTGGAAAACTGCATGTGCCTATGCGCGCGCGTGTGTGAACCCCCGCAGGTGAGCGGCACGCTCCGTGGCGAGCTCGTGGTGTGGGATGTAGTGCACCAGCAACAGATGCACAAGTGGGTGGCGCACAAGCGCTACGCCATCACGTGCGTCCGCTTCACACATGATGCAACGGCGGTGTACAGCTGCGCGGAAGACTGCAAGGTGAAGGGGGGGGGGCTGCTGCGGGCAACGCCTACGTCTCTCATGCCCTGCTGCCGCTATTGCTGCTTTCACTTGCCGCAATGTGTATATACGGCAAACCATCATGCTCCTGCGGGGCTTTACTTTTTGATCTGCGTCCGTTAACTGGATACGCTAACCGATGGTATCCGTACCGCAGGTTATCATGTGGGACTGGCGGCGACAGACGAAACTGGCGGTGCTTGTGGGTCACCAAGCGCCCGTTCAGGCCGTGGAGATGAGCGTGGATGGCAACCAGATGGCTAGTGGCGACAAGGATGGCTTCATCTTCATCTGGGACACAGTCACACATTCGCCCAAGCAGGTGCGCGCTGTTCGGTGCCTTTGCTGGATTGCGGCTTCGTTGGGGGGGAAAGGTTGTGGAGCGTCGACGCGTGACGGCCTGCTAGCATACAGCAAGCGCGCCGTTGCTTGGTCAGGGGCCTTCGTTGTGAACTCCTTAAGGCATCGACTTGAATGGGCTACGGGACTTTCCTGCGGCCAGCCTGGGTGATGGTACGCCAACCTATTTCTGGTGGTCCGCCTCGGAAAGCAGCAGCTTTGGGGTATTGAACCATCGTTTCCCGTGCTTCTGATTTCTTGCTTTCAGAACTTATATACGGCCAGCTCTTCTGCCATCTGCAAGTTTTTTCCTTTGGGTGCGAAGAACATGCGTGACGTCGCCTGTCAACTGTGATCCAAATCTTCCCACAGGTTATACCCGCCCACGACGGCTCGGTGCTGTGCTGCAGCCTTAGCCCTTGCGGAACCATGGTGGCTTCCACGGGGGCAGACGAGCACATCGTTATCCTAGACGTGCACGAGGGCCGTCAGGTGGGTCGTGCTGAAGGGCCACATAAAGATAGTAGTAGATAGTTTTGAGAGAGTGAGAGGAGGCCCTTGGCCAAAGGCTAAGAAGCGCGACGCGTTGGTTTACGCTAGACTCCTTTGTGCGTTGTGCCGCGAGGCCGTTGACCACCTACTTAAAGGCGTCGCGCATGCATTTGCCTAGTAGTGAATGGATGCCCTGGCACGAAGGTGCTGAACTGCTCTCGGTTTCTCTTGCCGCTTGTTTGTGCTGCGCAGTTGGCTTCCCTGGACGACGCCATGGATGGCAAGGGTCTCACAATCAAGTTCAGCTTTGATGGCACACGTCTACTGGTGCGTATGAACCGGATCTGGACGTTTGGATCAGGACAGGATAGCCTGTGACGACGCAACTCACACATGCCCGCATGCGGTTCGGACGTGTGCGCGCATTCTTTGTGCCCAGCGCTCCTTACTTCATGTCACTAGGCTCGTGTTTCAAGAGATTCCCGTCCCTTCATCCTAGGCGGACGGTGCGGCTTAGAAATCCACGCGCAGCTGTGGTGGAGTGCAGGTACAACGTCTTGTTACCATGAGCGAGTTCATGTTGCTGCGACCCGTCTCCTGTTTTACCTCTGCCTGCGCAGGTCGGCGGTGAGAAGGGCGGTGTCCTTATCTGGGATGTCGCCCGAAATTGCCTGCTGTACGACATTCCCGCCCACGACGGCAAGGTGTTTGACTGCGGCTGGTCTGGCGACTCGCGGCGGCTGCTCTCTGTGGGCTCTGACGGTCGGGCAAGGCTCTGGGACGCGGCGGCAGGCAGCGAGCTTTGCCAGGTGTGTCCAGGTCTGACCGCACGCTTTCAGTTCTGTCACAGGTCTTGCGGCTTGAATGGAGAAAAAGGATAGTCCGCCCCTCCGGCTGATCCCTTCCCCCCGGGTTCCTTTTCAGTCGCCATGCATTTGCTTGGAAGATACACGACACCGTGTTTATATGTGGCATCCTAGTGATTGCAGAGGGAAGCTGATTGCAGAGGGAAGCTGGTTTTGTATGCGTTTTAGCTGGTTGTGCTCTCCTCCCTGCGCTAATGCGGCCCCCGCATCCCGGCGTGGCTTTGTGTGCCCAATCGGAAAAACAACACCCACAGGCGAACTTCGAGCGCGTGATGGGCGCCGTGGAGTCGGGTGGCTTCGTGCACTGCGATCTGTCAGCGACAGGGAGTCGCATGGCGGGGTGCACAGCCAAGGGCCAACTCATCGACTGGGTAAGCGACGAAATCTCATCACGATTCCAAGGCGTGCTGTGCTTGGCTTCAAGGCCTGCTCGGATGGTTGGCTCGCTTACTGGGCCTCTTATCGTCGGATACTTACCTCACGCGTTTCGCGCATTCCTCCTCGCAGGACGTGGGTGCGGAGCTGCGCTGCGTGCCCGAAGGCTCCATGCTCTACCAGCGGCTTAGTGCTCTCAGCGTCGGGCGCTCTAGGGAGGTTTACGCACGACTGCTGCGGCAGTTCCCACTGCTGCCTAACACACAGGACTCGCGCGGCTGGACCATCCTCATGCACGCCGTTGCCAACTCCAACCCCGAGATTACCAAGCTCATCATCGGCAGCGTCCCGTCTGGATCCGGCAAACTGGGCCTTACGGCGTCCGCGGTACAGAACTCGATCCTGTCGTCGATTCGTCACGTGCCGCGCGTGCAGATGCAGATCGGCGGCACGTCGGGCAAGCAGAGCACACCCGGCGGAGGCTCCGGGCTCGCGTGGGAGGGCAATGGAAGCAAGCGGAGCAACTTACTGGGCGGCGACAGCAGCAATGCCGTGATGAAGCTGGGGTCGCCTGGCGTAAGCGGGAAGAAGCTGACCGTGTTGGAGCCGTTGGACAAGGGCCGCATTGTAGATGACGAGGATGAGAATCTGGACGATGATGATGATCAGGATAGCGGCCTGAGCAGCTCCGCGCCACGAACGGTGGCAACGTCGCCAACGGCAGCGGCGGCAGCGGCTGCGGCCGTGCAGCGGCGGCCGTCAAGCGGCGCAGGCACCGGCGGCGGCGGCTTGCTGAGCCGCATGGGCTCCTTTCTGCGCTCTGGTGCTGAGCTGCTGTCGCCAACAAGGGAGCGCGCGGGGACCCCTAGCGAGGAGAGCCGCGCTGCGGCCGGAATGGCAGACCAGGGCGGGGGCAACGCGTCGCCGCTGGGCTCGGGCCACCTGGGAGCGGCTGAGCTGCAGGATCGACCAATTCGCAGGTAAGGCCCGGCCGGTCCGGTCGCCATAAACCCGGAACGTTCCGCCGTCCTGCAAGTATCCGTATGGCTTTAAACCACCCGTCGGCATGCGCCTCCTTCCTGTCGCCGGGCCCGTGGAATGACGATTTGCGCTTGGCGTCACCCTGGCCCTCATATGCACATCATAATTTAGGGGAACCCTGGAGGTGTTGCACATTTCATGACTCCTTACCCGCAGCGCGGGCGTTATCTAGCCCTCCTACAGCCAACCCCACGTGATCACATCCTCGGCGGTGCACACACTTAACAAAAACGTACCGTCCACCTGCCGTTTTGTCCACCCGTCCATCGACCGTGAATCTACCGTGCCGCGAAGTCCGCGCGCCATGAAGCCTTCGCTAATGTTTGCGACCGAGGCAGCCGTTGGCGCGCACAGAACGGCGGCGTCAAGCCCCACTCCCGGCACCGGGAGCCTCCCGTCCATCCTCAAGAACAATCCCAGCAAAGGCCCCGGCACTGGCAGCGGCACGGCCGGCGCCGTGAGCGAAGCAGGTGGTGGCCTTACGAGCAACATCAGCGTGGATGTGCCGGTCATGACGGATTCGGCGCCGCAGGAGCAGCCCTCTCTTATTGGCCGCCGAAGCTTCGGCGGCAGCGGTCCTGGAGGCATGGACGGCAGCGTGCGCGGCGGCATCACGTATGCCACCGGTCGACGGTCCCTTCTGGGTTCCGTGTTGGAGGCGGAACGCGAGCGCGACAGCGCCGGTGCGCGCAGCCGCAGGCGCAGCTTCATGTTTGGCAACGGCGTGCCGCATGGCGGCGGTGGCAGCTCCTCCCAGCTGACGACCACCAACCTGGGCCGCAGCATCCGCCATATGGTGCACAAGCTGGCGCGCGTGAGCTCGCGCGGCGGCGGCAGGGATTTGGAAGAGGCCACGCCGCCGGAGGACAACGTGGACGTGGTAAATGACTGGGTCACTGCTTAGTTCTTGCCTATGGGTTAAGCTATACATAAATTGAACTGGGAAGAGGCTTTTCTGTAGCACGCCGCTGCAGTTTGGTGGTTAGGACGGGCTGTTGGCGACATTGGAATGCCTAGTCCGCTATCTATGCTCTATGCGTCCAGACAGCTGCCTTGCGCTCTATTGTCGAGGAGTGCGCGAGGTGCTAAGCACCGGTTTGGCGTCCTGTGCCTGCCTTTCCCTCATGTCTTATCTCTTTTCTATTTTATTGTGGAATGCCTTCATGCGCAGCGCCACGTGAGCGACCTGAGCCGCAACGGCTGGCATGAAGAGGATCACGACCAGACGCGGTCGCAGAGTGGCGCTGGCAGTACTGGAGGCAAGGGCGGCATCGGCAGGGAGGGCAACTCGGCCGGCTCCGGCGTGCCATCGGCGTCCGGCAACCGGGGCAGCAACAGGGTTTGGCCGGTGAGTTTGTCAGCTGAGCTGCGCAGAAAACTAAAAGCACACACACACAGGCACATGTTGCGCATATACACAAAGCGAGGTAACGCAGATGTACATTCGCAAGGTGGACTACCAAGAGCGCAAGCTGTTGCTGCATTGTGCTTGGGCGACAGCTGTCACAGCCGATTGTCACAGACGTGCTTCGGCGCGCCGCGCCATGCCCTGTTCCGCACACAACACCCGTCATCGCCCTGCGTTGGTGTTTCCTATGCTCACGCCAAGCGCGGCGCAATACAGAAATACTGCCGCTCACTGCCGAACCCATTGACCTGCTGCGTCTGGATTTGCTGCCGCATTGTTCCACGTGCGCAGGAGTCTCAGTCGCCCGACCGCACGGAACCAAATGTCATAAAGATTGCGTTGGACGCTGGCGCAGCGGACTGCGTGCAGCACGTGCTTGACGCGGTGCTGGCACAGAAAGTGACCCCTGGGTCGTACCATGCCATTACTGCCGCCATTCCGGCAGTGGCGCAACAGTACCCTACCATGTGCCAGGTGTGTCCACGGAAACCATTTGGGTTGCCCCTCATTCGCACTTGACCGTATTTCCACACAAGCGACGTCGTTGAACGACGTCTTCAAACTCCTCAGATGTTTGAAGTCTTTTACAGTTGACCAAACCATTCCGAGCTTCCCTTTATGTTCTGCTGCGCCTGCTGTTGCTACTACTGTTACTTCGCCTGCGCCTGCCATTGCGCTTATTATTGCGAATGCTACTGCTGCTGCCGTTGTAGGTCTTTTTGTCAGGTCTACCCCTGCGGCCTCTGGGTGAAATGGAGGTGCCATCCTCCATTGCCGCGCGGGGCATGATTGTCACGTCTGCGCCATCGTACACGTCGTACAAGGAGATGTGGACTCACGAGCTTCAGCTTGGGGGGGTAAGCAACCAAGTCGGATTGCCTAGGACGCTGCGTTCGACGATTACACCGACTCATGGGAATTTTGGGAGGCCGGTTATCCTCGCTGCACCTCTTAGGCTGATAGCAACATCTGGCTTAGCATCCGCTGCGCGCTCGGTTACATCCAGAAATCCGGGGAATTGCAGCAGGGATTCCAACCCGACATGGGGTTATCGTCGCGAAAATCGGTCCGCTCGCACCTGCTTGTGCTTTTGTGTCGCTCTGCAGGGCAACAAGGGGCCTATGGCGCTCATGGAGGCGTGCATGGTGCCGCTGCCCTTCGCGGCCGCCAGCGGCAAGACGTCGGTGCTGCACACACTAGTGGAGAGCAGCGTACCTGTGCAGACCTACGGCAGCGATACCGTTAAGGTGAGAGGAAGCCGTCCAACTCAATGGTTTGACGGTATCGTCGTTACCGCCCTTCCATTTGCCATGCGCTGGGCAACTTCGATCCATAAATGAGACCCGGAAAAATCTCGCTGTGCGGCCCTTCATTTCACCGTGCTACAGGCGATTGTGGATTACAAATGGCGCAACTTTGCGCAGCGGAGGATTTACATTAAGGCCCTCGTGTACCTTCTGTACACGGTGATTTTCACCGTCTTCGCAGTGCTGTTTGCGGACCACGACACTTCGGTGGGTTGGGCTAGGCGCTGGGCCGGGCCGGGTTGGAAGCATTGCTTGCATTTTTGATTTACCTGGATGGGCCATGTCGCACGGCAGTGCGATTGTGGGTTCTGGGCACGGCAGTGCGATTGTGGGTTGCTTGTTGCGGAGAACGCAGAACATGATGCGTGCGCCTATTACCCCGACGGTATTACTCCCACGGTGGTGCATTTGAATGTGCACCATTAGTCCTGGCGCTTTCGCAGCGCATGGCGCGTAAAAGCCATGTCCGCCCTCCCGACTATCCTGCTCACGTCTAGTTGCTGTTTAAGAGAGCCCCACCTACCGGGTTCAGTGAAGGCGACTGCTCGGAACGCTTTTCAAAAGACCAGTCATCTCACTCAGCTCTGTGCATGCACTTGATCCTTGCCTCCGCAGGCCAGCCTGAAAGGATTGTTCAGTGCGAAACGCGGCGTTGCGATGGTGGCCTTTGCCGCCATACTCTTCCTGTATGGTAATTACTTTCTCGTCCTGGAGTGCGTGCAGCTCGCAAGCCTCGGCGCCGCAGCGTATTTCGACTCGTTTTGGAACATCGTTGACATTGCCGCCTACGTGACAACGCTGGTGGTCTGTCCCTGCACGGTGTTCCGAAAGGGCATTGGCAAGGGAGATTTCGTCGCAGTGTTGGTGCGTATGGGGCACCACGCAGGGGCTTTCCGGAACGCGCTGTGGGGCATGGCAGCATGGCAAAAGTAGCATGGCTCTTTCTTTCACCTCCATCCAGTGTTGCATATTGGCGGGGTAACCCCCGTACCTGTGGGGGCATGGCTGTATCTGTCAAACGCTTCTTCCAGAACCTAAGATATACCTAGGGTGATTTTTTCAGTAAAGATTTCCTGTTTTTTGCAGTGCACGGCGTTTCGTGATCCCCTTCCCCTTCGCGCGTAGGGAGTCAGAGCAAGTTTCTTCGAAAATTGTAATCTTGCGGTTTATTTTCTTACTTGTGGCAGGTCGCCGCAGAGGTCATCATGCTGTGGGTCAAGGTCTTGTTCTTCGGCTTGGCAATTGACGGCGTGGGCACCTTCATTTTCATGACAGCCGAGATCATTAAGGGCCTCAAGTACTTCATCGGCTTGCTTGCCACGCTGTTCATTAGCTTCGCCGTTGCCTTCATGGTGCTGTTCAGGTAGGGCTGGCTGAACCGATGCTGGCTGACGGTTTGGCTGGCTTGCAACGTGCCTGGCTGGCAGCTCGGCTGCTTGATGCTGCCTTCACCGGCGATGGACCAACGATTGCCTCTTGATCGCGTTGCAGGGACGCGCCGACAAGCGATGGAGGTGAAGACGGCCTTGGAAGCCTGTATGGCGACTTTGGTAACTCGCTGCTCAACGTGTACCTGGTGATGTTTACAATTGGCGACCCACATAAGGCTGCTGAGACTGAGTACGGTCACGTGAGTATGGGCCGCGCCCTCTATCGTCCCCTCCTCCCCCCCTATCATTGTCTGGGTTATGGGCCTCCCACGGCACCCTCATATGCCATTATATGTTGTCTTGCGGGTCCGGTGCTGCTCCTGGGTTTTGAACCCATGTTGCTTCTCGCTGGATACACCTCGCTGCCCGTTGCTGCGCTTTTGACACATCGAGGGTTTGCACTACATCCTTATTCTCCGCTCTGCACGCAGCCGGTAACGGCTACCGTTATTGTCCCCCTTTCCGTTCCCTTCAGTTCGCCATCCTGCTCTTCTGCGTGTACATGTTCGCTCTGTTGGTGGTGATGCTCAACATGATTATTACCCTCATGGCGGACATTTACCAGAAGGTCAAGGGGATCCAGCATTTCGTCTTCCTCAAAGGTAGGAAGACACGCGCCAAATACCCGGTAACGGTCACGTACCAGCCGTTTCCTAGGGGAACTAAAGTTCTTCATCCCGCTCTTCATCCGCATCTTCGCTTCACGTCAGCAATTGAGGCCCAATGCCCACGTGCCCGCGAGAGCCATTATGCACGGGGGAAATGCTGGGAAAGCCACAGGACCGCGGGGTTGTTTCTGGGCTTGGCTGAAGCTGTCCAGCAGCCTTCGGGCTCATGGCCCTTTGCAGCTGCAGCGTGCCTAATAACTTTGTCGAGGTTTACCCCTACGGTTTCGACCTCTTGTTATGTCAACGTGCACCGAAAACCCGCAACCGCCGTCCGCGCCTCATGCATGGTAGCCTGTAGGTTGCACCCTCAGCTTGCGTTTGGACACCTTGACGGCTTCCTCCTGCCCTATGTGTGGTATCATATTGTTTTCTGCGCCCGTGTTGTCCGGCTTTCTTAGCAACCAACCATACGGAAGGAATTTGGCTCGGCTATGTGGTTCAGCTTTTTGTATTGTTCCCTGTATTGTTGCCCTCATCCTTTGCGACCATGTTCCGTGAGCCTCACTGGCTCTGCACACGCTCGAGGGTTCTATCCTGCCTCGCAACATCTGGTTGCGCTGTGGCCTTTGGCGCGACGCCACCTGCCATGTTGTGCCGTGCTCCCACACCTCAGGCCGTGCGGAGCTGATCATCGACGTGGAGAGCACGACCGGTGGCAGCCTTATGAACGCGGACCATCCCTACCTGCACCTGCTCATGCCGCTAAGGAAGGATGCTGGTGCAGGGGACTACAACGATGATGACGCGTAAGTGTGTCGTGCTGCCGATGTTTTTAGGTGTCCTAGTTTGTCCCTGCCGGCGTGCTGCTCGCCCTTGCGAGTGCATGGCGGGGGCCGCCTTTGGCCGAACGTGCCGCTGCCCCATCGTGCCTCTGCCCTAACTTGTTTGCGCGCTGCAACTTGTTTCCCTAGCTACGGACTGCACGACCGATTGTTGTCTCGCCCGGATCGGGCTATTGGGTTGAAGGGCCGTTTCTTGAGAACTAAACGATGCACCGTTAACAGTTACACAAGAGCTGTGTTGCGTGGGGTTTGCGGCGATGTGCAAAAGCGTTTGCAGAAATCCTGCATTTGCAGGAAGGCGCCGGGTGCCTTTCGTCGCCGCCTCAGACCTGAAGCTTGCTGGAGCTCATTGTCCAGGGGCTGATGCTTTTACCCTCAGGTCGTCTCCTGAGCCTGCCCCGGTATTGTGTGTGTTCCAATTTTGTGTGCATGCAGGGACAAGCTGGTCACTGCGTCTGTTCCGCGAGGGGCATCGGGGAATGCTGGAATGGGCCCACTCGGGGCGGTCGTCTCCCGCGCCGTCAGCCTGACAGGCGGCATCGGCCGAGGCATTGGCGGAGGCGGAGCCGTCGACGGTGCTTCGGGCAGCAACAGCGACGATGATGACGGTCGCAGCGTGGTGGGTCGTGCACTCAGCCGCATGCCCTCATTCAAGTCCATGCGGAGCTTCGCCGCCACCACGACGGCAGCTGCGGTCACCGGCGGCGGTCACGGTCAGCGGCGGATTGCGGAGCCTTTGACCGGTATTGGCAGCACGACCATGCGGCGTGTCGGCAACGCAGCGGCTGCCGCCATCGCTGCCGCCGAAGCAGAGCGGTTGGAGCGGTTGGAACGCGCCGTGAACCGCCTAACAGCCAACCTCGACACGGTCATGAACCACATGCGGATTCGACGCCAGTCGAACTCGGGGGGCCCAGGGTTATTGGCAACAGAGACTCTATCGACTGGCGCCACGGCTTCTAACCGTCGCGGCGTCAATCAACGCAGCACGATGAACGGTGTTGGCAACTCGAGCATGCCCGCACGTGGTGTGGGGAGAGCGGATAATTCCTTCGGAGGTCCACTACCAGGCGGGGTTCCTAGCCGCGGGCCCAGCCGGCCGACAAGTGCGCTGGGCCCTTCGCCATCGCTACCGCCGCCGGTGGTTGTGGCACACCTTGGCATGCCCGGGGCGGTGCCGTCTGTTCCCGTCGCGATCCCCACCTTTCCATCTGGCCACATGGCCAGCACCGGCGGCAGCAGTGGTGCGGGTGCCGGCGCCGGCAGCCATGGCCACTTGCACGCAACGTTTGCGGACCAGTACGGCTCCTTCTTAACCACTGACGCTGACGGCTCCGTCCGGGGTGTGCGGGCTCCCGAGGGGCAGGAGCGGGCCTCGTCCAGTTCGAGGAACAACACAAGCACTGGCGCTGGCGGCGCAGGCACTCCTGTCGCTGCGGGTTCTCCGGTCTTGGGCAGTGTCAGATCGGGGACGCCTGACAAAGCGGTGGTCACCATTGCTGGTGGTGCCGGCGGCGGAGCGCCACCCGGCGGCGGCGGCGGTGGCAGTGGCGGCGGCGGTGTGAACCACACCAAGCCGAGCGCCGTGCCGCAGCCCGGCGAGACCTCTGATGTCCAGACAGGAGTGGCGTCGCCGGTGGTCAGGAAGACGACAGCAGCGCGGCTTTCCGAGGGATCGCCCTCACCATCGTCACCGAGCGGCGGCACCGCAGCGCCTGTCAGCTCACAGCCCAACAAGGCCGGCAGCGTGCGCGGCGTGGCCGCTGTTGACCGGTCGGCTAGGAGCAGCAACAGCGCGTCCAGCAGTAATGGCGCCGGTGGCGGCGTCGCTACGGCGGCCCGATTGGTGCTGGATCCGGAGGAGCCGGCGGCGTGGGGAGGATCGGGCCCGGGGCGACCACCTGCCGATAGTGCTAACGTCAGCGCGGAGCCCCGGAGGATCCGTACACCTGGCGAAGTCGATCCCAGCGGCTAGCGCCTTGCAGCTGTTAGCCCCTAATGCAAAAGGCCCCCTTGCAGGTTGTTGGGCCTTGCTAACGAGTGCCGTGCTAACGTGATGCGAGGTGGCTGTGTATGGTGTGTGTGTGTGTGCTCTGATGTTTGCTTAACAGCTGCGTGCTTTAGGACTCGGCCCGGCTTTATGTGTGGGGCCATGCATGTACAGTCGATGTGATACAGGGGGGTCAGCGAGGTGAGGGGATGCAGTTGCGATGGCATGGGGCAGCTGGTGGAGTTGGCGCCATCGTGATGCAAAAAGGCGACGCAAAAAAGATGGGATGGCCTGGGCTGGGCTGAGCTAAGCTGGGCAGCGTACTTCTGCATTGCACTGTGCTGCAATAGGCATGAGACTGGCGTGCTTGGCCGCCCTGTTACCGTTCGAGATTATGCGATATATATTACGCAGCTTTGCAATGTGTAGGGTGCCACTTTTAACAAGGAAAAGGCAAAGGCTGGGGGGAGGGGTATTCGGGAACTGCCTAAATTGTGGAGATTATGCGGGTTTGCGTGACCAGCGCTGACGGTGGAAGCGCATTACGTGGGGATGACGGGTGTTGGCTTGGGTAGCATGATAGAGCAAGCTGGCGTGGATACATCGTACCGCTGTTATACCCTCTGATGGGTAGCGTGTTGTGGTGCAAGACGTGGCGAGGTGCTGTACTCTCGGCTCCTTGGTGCGAATGAAATACAGATGATCCGGGCCAATGGATAGCGGGTGGGTAGTTGCAAACCGGAATCACGGTGAGACGCGGCAATGGCTTGGTCTTGGGGTGCGGAGCCAATACGCCTGTGTGCAGTTGCTGCCGATAAATGTTGGTAAGGCGTTTTCCCTGCCTTTGTACGCTTTGGGGCCACACTGGTTGGGGGGCTAAGCATACGTGTGTGTTTTGAGCTGCTGCACTGCATATCCTGAATGTTAGTTTGGTCCATCCGCCATTCTCAGGAGCGTCCTTGTGCGTGCCTGTCCTGTGGGATGTCTGACGGGATGAACAATCTAGCTTGGAGAACCCGGGCTTGGGAACGGGGCTGGCCAGTGGAACTGGAGGACGATAGGGTCGAGGCGACGCTTTGGTTGCACGCACATCGCTACATGGAAGGCGCGGAATGGCGCAGCTTGCTCGCTCCCACGCGCGTGTACTCGTTATCCGTTTCCGTAAGACGCCGGATGGGGTATTTAATGGGGATGGACAGTGGCTACTGTAGCCGCGGCGCCACATCAATTATGGAACTTGTGGGACCCGCGCCGTGGGCTCTCTGTGGTGTATCCGCTGGAAGTAGTTCTGCTGCTGCTGTTGCTGTGTGCGCGCGTATGTGTGTCTGTGTGTATGCATATGGACACTGGAGTTACTGTCAGACCTGTTGTCGTTATCCACACGCGGGTGGAGTGTCTGGCTGCGTACGACCTGTTGACTGAGGGGATGTGGCTTTGGTCGTCGTCGTCGCGGTTGGTTATGGGGCCCGGCCTGCGAGGTGTGCGGGGTGCGTCCCGTTCGTCATGGCGACCAGGAGCCCCGGTGGCGCGCGCTTGCACTGTGAACTGAACAGGGTTACTCCCATCACACTAACAAAAACCCGCTATGCTGATACCTTAATGGCCCGCGCCTTTGTTTGGATTTTCGTACATGAAAAACCAGCACGCAAAGACGGATAGCGCGAGGGCCAAAAGGCTCCGCGAGACATGTATGGCATGTGAACGCTTATTCTGTCGAAGCCGTGTACAGCACCTTTTTTGTCGGAGGCATCATGCCTCTCACGCTAATGAGGCCCGTTTTCCGACTTGGCAAAGTCATTCGGTTGTCGGCGCGCTCCCGTCCATCGAGTGCTTTCATCGCGCGTCATGTTGTTTTGAACTGGATAGTGCCGTTAGGTCCTGGTCTCAGGGCACGTCCCAGGTTGAAGGCCGTGGTGGTGATGGTGTTAGGGTCTAGCGATTGCGACAGATGGAGCTTCGTTACGAAGAGCTGCAACGCTCCAACCGGCGCCTGTGCTTCTGATGAAGGAATGCACGTGTTGTGACATCGATTGCATGCTGCAGATTCAAGAGGTTAAATACAGCAGATACATAATTGTGCTCGCGCGACGATTTCGTGCGTGCTGCCCATACCATCGTCTCTATACTAGGCACTATTGCGCCTCTTCGTGCGGCAACGTGGCAGGGTGCCGGCGCCCTCACAGGCGGCACGTGGTGAACCACCTGCCCACCACATGTAAGTTGTGCGCTTGCGTGCGTTTATGTGATGCGGACCACTTCACAGGCGCGATCGGCGCATAGAGGAGCACAGGTCGACACGACACCACCGCTGCGGATGATAACGCGAATGAATAAATTAGATCGCTATTACCGCGATTCGCAGCAATCAGTTAATGGTTCACTGGACTGTGATTACGGTGAGATGTTATTCATGGCAGGCGTTGGCGGCGGACATTTTGTTGTTTTTACGTTCCGCTTGGCGTTTGGTGTACTACTACTAGCCCCAGAACGCCTTTGACCCAAGGGGGGCGCGGCTGCATGTGTGGCGGATTGGGTGGAGAATCGGATAGTCTGGTTCAACTCGTTGTAAGGAGACTTGCCACCATCTACAACGGACCAGCATCACCTGTTTCTGCGGATAGGTTTGGCATCCTGGCAAAGGATGCTCGACAGCGATTACCACCAGGCAGCAACAGCACCATCGTAAATAGGTAAAGATGAAATGGCAAATGAGTGCGTCTCCCTCTTGATCGAACTCGCGACAGTTGGCAAGTGGCTGAGCGAGCGTGGAGAAAGCAATGACGGAGACCCGTACAGGCTCGAGTTCAAGTCAACATAGCTACGTTTTCAGTTGTGGGTTCTGTCTAGACGTGTGGGGAAACCTGTGTCTTCATGTGCTTTTTAAGATAATGCACGCTGCTCTTGGCCCCCCACAGTTGAGGAAAGCTTCGCCTGGCGTGAAACAATTATTCGCCCGAGCGCGTAGGTCACGAAACGTTCCGTACATCAGCTGTCATTATTTCGACATACTCGCATATGGGTGTGTGCGTCGCCTATACGGTACGGTCATGTCGACATCTTTGGGACATTTGGCCCACCGCGAAGCTTTTTCGCCATGCGGCGCGCTGTGCAGATACATGCAGGTGCAATGCATAGCCCAGAAGCGTAGGCGAAATCTCAGCACCTTTACACGAAGCCGACGGCCAACGACCGCATTACTAACCATACCTTTTATCTCCCTGTCGTGGTGCAGACCCGCAAAACGCAGGGATATGCACGCGCCGCGTAAAGCACCATTTTTTTCAGCATCCGCCACCAACGACTTTCAGAAGCTTCCACCTCGCCTCCTTTCAGCTCCATGCAGCCCGTAAAGCCCTTCAGCCATGCCGCTGGGCTCCTAAACACGCACGAAATGCTCCACCAAGCCGGTGCCGCCATCGCAACAAGACACAGCCCAATGACAAGCACCAACACTTGCACAGCAGCCTGGGGCGAAGAGGATTGCCTGTTAAACAACAACCGCCGCAGAGGCAATGACAAAAGTACTAAATATTATGATCTGAAGGCAAGCACGCAGCGTTATGACACGTGTCAGTTCATATATCATATCCGATTATATTACCCTCAGCCAGCTCTGACCTGAGCTGTTCCACCTTGGCGCAAAAGGCGGCCGCAAAGGCAGCCTGTATGTATGTTGTTACAGGGTGGTTAACTTCGCCAGCGGCCCCCTTTCCCGGGGCAGTCCCTGCTCTCCCCTGCTAGAGGGGCACCCTAATCCGTCACCCCATCCGACTTCAGAATGTATTCGTTGGGTTCGGCAACTCACCACCAGCATCCAACCAAATCTAGCGGATCAACGGCGCATCAACTTAGTTCCTGGTCAGCTCGCAAGTTGATATTATCACGTCCTACACCGTCCATAAGATGGGGGGCCACCTCCCATTTCATCACTCCTCAAACACCCGAGGAGCCGGCAGGCGGATTTGAACCCGGGTCGACTGGGTCGACTGGGAGCAGAAGTCAGGCCTTAACCTCTGCCAGCCGCCTGCCTAATATGTATGTAACCAAATCTAGCGGATCAACGGCGCCTCAACTTAGTTCCCTGGTCAGCTCGCAAGTTGATTTTATCACGTCCTACATCGTCCATATGATGGGGGGCCACCTCCCATTTCAACACTCCTCCAACACCCGAGGAGCCGGCAGGCGGATTTGAACCCGGGTGGGCCGGGAGCAGAAGTCAGGCCTTAACCTCTGCCAGCCGCCTGCCTGTATGCCGGTGCGGACATGGGGCCCCCCAAACAAGTGCACCAGGATAGACAACATTCACACAGGGACTTGTTCAAAGGCTTTTATGTCCACAGGTCGTATGCACTTTATAATTTTTTAGCGGGATGGCTCTTGTAACCGAATGAAGAACCAGTGGCCCCCTCGTCGTCGCCAGCAATAAGCCCCAACACCCGAACCGATACGCTCCTCGCCAGGTAGCATGTACCCTACTTGGAACGTACAACAACATGACGGGAAGGCATGCGCGGTAGGAAGCTTCGGACGTACTGGGGAATGCGGAGCACGAGAGACACCTACACTTCCCATCCTCGTGCTGGAGCGCTGCTGCTGCTGCTGCTGCTCCTCCTCCTCCTGCAATGAACACCTCCGTCTTTCCGTCCCGGCAGCCCAGCTCTCCTAGCGCAACACCGGAACATCAAAGCCAAGCAAGAGAGCTGCCGCGTGGGGCGAGACTCCTTCCAATGGGAAAAGCCCAGAGCCTTACATCTCTTCGGCGAGGGTCTCCGGGGAGACGGACTCACACGCGACCCAATAACCCACCACCATCCACCGAGACAACCCACGAAGGCTCCCTGGAACTCAGGTACTTCAAGCCTGAGAGTCCACAGCCGCACCAGCTAACAGCGTACTTGGGTTGTCTGTTGCGCTTCGGGGCCCCCCTACCGGTCACCTCGGCGACGCCGTACACACGCTACAGACTTGCCTCCTAAGCTCATGACTTCCCTTCGGACCCTGACGGACAGGATGAGGTGCATGAAGCTACTACTCTCATGCCTTCATGTACGCCCTGTCCGCACCCGCGAGCTAAGCCAACCGCATGAGCCCATTCGCGCAAAAGGAAACCATCGAGTGCCGTTTTTTTCCAACACCGTTCGCCATACAGGTGCATGGACTCCACTCGCCATCATCACCATCGTAAAACATCACGACGGCCATTTTAGCCACTATCTGCACACGCAGCTGCGTCTTGCGGGGCTCACGACGCCTCCGCTTCAGCGGAAGTACATGGCCAGGTCCGGTGCTGTGATGCCTTTGGCGCCCTTCTTCCCTGTGGTGCGGTCAGGCGCGGTTCCCCGGAGACGAGCCGGATGGCCGCAGCGATGGACGGACGGAGGATAGATAACTAACCCCTTTCCAACAGACGCGAACGGCAGACTTTGTATGTGTGCGACACCTTTCTCTTCGCGCCGAGTCTGTGGTCTAGTGGTAATATGACTTCGCGTCGGGTGGCGCGCGCGCGCTGCTGCTGCTGCTGCATCACGAACATTTTGAAGGAGGGACTGCCGCGGGGAGGCGCATCTGTCAACTGCTGATGCTACTGCTGCTTGAGGGTTGCTCTGCGGCTGCTCATGCTCATGCTACTGCTGCTGGTATCCCTAATTTCGATGATCATGATGATCATAAACACATAAATATATTATGGCGGATGATGCTGATTTGTTTTCAATGTGTGGACTTAAATTTTATATGATTGCCGTATGTGCGCCGTCATCGCTAAGCCAGACGCCAACATACGGCGGATGCAGAGCACACCCTAAAAGGACCTTGAAGAAAGGACGTCACACTTCCCACTCCACCCCGCTCCGTTCTCCGCGCACCGTCGCTCAAGGGCTCTTGCTGCTGCCAGCGGCTGTAGCCGGTGCCGGCGCCGGTGGGGCCTCCACACGCGTGACGTCCGCATGCGCCGGCCTACCTCCCGCCGCACTCCAGGCGTACCACCTGCTTAGCTGATAGAGCTGCACCGTCTCGTTAGAGGCATGACAGGCCAGCAGCAAGTAGTTGCGGGGCTTGACCTGCGCGGTGTGTGTGCAGGTGTGAGCAACGCCGGTCGCATGGCTCGGAGTGGAATATGTGCAAAGTGTGGAATTCCATTTGTGGAATATGCATTAATGTGATGACGAGGAGGACAGGGCGCCCCGGTGCGCTGGATGGATGCAAAAGAAGGAAGAGCCAACTTAAGAGCCGTGTGCAATAAGTTTAAGTAGCATATTCGAATTCGCTCAAGTATTGAGTTCGTCGTGCATATAGACGTGCCTCTGGTACACACTACAAAGCTGGCGGGTCTGCACGGGATTACAAGAGGGGAACATGCAACCGGACTCGGCGCGCGGCACGCACCTCCCAGGCGAAACGCATGAACAGGAGACTGTAGATGCACATAACTGCGGAGGGGGAAAACGGCCACACGTGTCGCGTGGAAATAATGGGTCGTTCATGTCTACGATGGTGCAAGGAAATGGTGGTGGGCAGCAACACGGGTCAGGACAGTGGTGCACCTGGCCCTGAGTGATCGGATGCAATGCTGTGGAACTCTCTTATGGGCCCAGGGACTCTGACAGCGCTTCTGCGTCCCCTAAGGACTTCTGCTAGGTCAAAAGCCGACCGTCTCCGCAAGGCGCACCTCCCGTCATGTTTGGTGAAATATACTCGGGATCCTTACGCATATCAGCTAAGCCCTGCAGCAGAGCCCACGTCCAGCGTGTTACCGCCCGAAAAGCTATCAGGTGTCGAGAAACACTAGACCTCACCGCAAGTACGAATCCCCAGTTTGCAACGGGTCCCCAAAAATGTGTCGTTTTAGGACCCGTAGGGCTGTTCCAAAAGTTCAGAAGCCTTGCTGAAAAAGAAGCCATATCTCCGGAACGAAAGGCCGGAAGGGACCAGATTCACCAGTGAAACAACGATGATATCCTTGTTGCCAGAGCAGCGTCTGCAAATCGCTTACGCACAACATCGGACCTCATCATGAGTGAAATGCACGTGTGCACGACAGTCTGCCTCCTTTCCCACCATGGTTCACAACACTGCCCAAGATTTGTACTGCTCAAGCTTCACAAATACATCATAACCACTAGGTCACAGTAATGGGCTAAAAAAACATCAGGCAACCTGTACTTCTTAAACGTTCAGTACCTTACACAGTTACGCCTTCCTTTATGGTATCTGTGGTTTGGTTAAATGAGAGCGTCCATAGATCTACGATGCATCAAGCTGATTTTTCTAGGAGCCCATTTTAACGGGTTAAACTTTATTGCACATGGCAGGCTGTTGTAAGCCGCGCACTGATATGGCTTATCTGACACAACGTCATGATGTTTTGCCTCAGCTGCTTTGGAAATAAAGGGAATGACTCGGGATTGGAGGTATGAGGCGGGGAATGCACTTATAGCTTCGCGGGTTAGAACTGGTCACGTGTGGGCGATGTAACAGAGGAGCCAAAAAATCTCCCTTCAATATCTATGCCACAAGATTTTAGCATGCCATACATATAGACCGCGGCTTTGCCCGGGTTACAGGGGAGGAGTCCTACAGATACTCGAGTTTCCATAGGACAAGCCTCCAGCACGTGGCCTAGCTACAGGCGGATAAGTTAATATGATTGCGTCTTCATGGCAGGAATGTTTTAGGCTGCCTAAGTACTCTTTCCTACCTACCTCTCGACAGGCAGTCACGCATCCTCAGCAAGAGCAATGCGAGGACTACGCACCTGCGCAGCTGTCCATTGCAGGCGAAGGCCTTCTGGTGAGATTTTTTATTGGTACCGGGTATAATGTTACATCACAGCAAAGGAGGTTTAGACGGCGACAGGCGGCCCCCGGTTCGCTGTTAGTTACGTGATTTACGATTTTCCCTTCCGCTGGGTATACCTAACTGTAGCATGATAATGCCAAAGTATTAAATATGTTTCTTAAAGGGATGGTTTCACGGTTAACCATCCCGTCCCAGGCGATCGCAAAACTGTTGGCCCATGTACCGCGCAGGGTCTGCTTCAAGCTCAAGCCGCCGATGCAAAGGATCCTCTGACCTCACCAGAAGAAATTGGCAGATGCATCAGGGCTGTAAGCCAGCGGCGTGTAGAGGCTTGGGTTTCATCAGACGCTGACAGATGTGCGAGCGCCATGCTAGGAGTTGCGGACGATGCTTCCGACGAGGACTCCCCAAAGCTTGCAAGACGCGGCTTATCGGTATACAAGTCAGGTATTTATGACCATAGGTCGCTTATATCATCATTTATCCGAAGCGGCAAGGTCCTTCCCGGGGCATTCGAAATTGGCGATTTGAACGAGGGCTCGCGCAGTGGTCACGGCGCTCGCGCTCGCAGCGGAAACGCTTTCTATAACGGCAGCGTTCGAAATGGGACCATTCATAACGGCAGCGCCTTTTACAGCACCGGTGGCAGCATTCGCAACGGCGGCAGTGTCCGAAACGGGAACGGCAATACATGCTACGGTAGTGGTGGCGACGGCGGCGGCAGCGTCCGAAAGTGCAACGGCAGTTTTCGCAACGGCAACGGCAGCAAGTACGGCCACGGCAGCAGCGTACGCAACGACGACGACGACGGCGACGACGGCACGCGAGAAGGTGGTCCGTATACCGGCAACGGCAGTGACGGCGGCGGCGGCAGCAGCAGCTGCCTCCGGAGTTGCAGCAGCGCTGAAAGCATACCCTGCATATCTCGTACGTCAAGCGGCGGTTGTAGCGGCAATGGTGTTGGTGGTGATGGTGGTGCCAACGCACATATCGACGGGAACAACGATCCACACAAGGCCGCGGGAAGCTCAGCTGCTTGTCGTACTGCGGGGGGAGGTGGCACTGATGGCGGCGACAACAAGACGGGAGCTGACGGCAGGGATGACGCTGCCGTACGGCCACCGTCACGACAAGGGGTCGTACCCTCCACGAGTACGACAACGCTATGCGGTCCGGTATCTTTTCCACCGGTAGGTCGAGGGCAATACGAATGGCACCCGGGGGGAAGGGGGGAAAGGGGAACAGGTTACGAAGGCATACACGAAATCACTCCGGCGGACAGACACCCCTACTTTCCTCCCCCGTCCTTGCACCGCCTGCAGGGCGACTCGTCATCCAGATCACTCATTGTCGTACGGACATACCGTGATGCTGATGCTGACGTCGGCACTGGCGTCGGCGATGTTGATGATGGCGGTGGCGGTGTTCCCCCGGGAGGCTTCCCACCTCAGAACGGCGGCGATTGTGAAAGGCCGCGAACTGCGGCGCCGCCGGGTGCGCTGTTTGCGACTCAGCCGGGGCTCTGGAGGTCCTTTGCGGCTGTGGGCCGCGCCGCCACCCTGCCGGGGCTGTTGCAGCCCCACAAGCCGCCGCCGCCGCCGCTGCAGCGGCAAAAGCCTCGGTGGCAACAGGAGCAGCAGGGTCCGCGAGGTGAAGAGCCGGCGGCGGCGGCGATGGCGGCAGCGTCTGCAGTCGTGTGTGGTCCAGGGATGGTAGGCGGTACTGACAGCAGCATTGGCCAGCGGCAGATCCGTCAGTGTACGGCTCAGCTGGCGGAGGGCGGCTCAGGGTACGACGTTGCCGTTGGCGGTCGTGGCGGCAGTGGTGGCGGCGCTCCAACTTCGCCGAGTGCTTCGTTGCTTGGCATGATTGCCGTATCGTCACTCGACGGTGATGAAGACGATGAAGACGAGGCCGAGGGTGCCGACCCGCGGGTCGACAACCTACAGCGGCCAGCCCGCGCGGTTTCCTTCTCGTCCTTACCGTCGTACAAGCGGCGCCTGGCCGCCGGCTCCGTCATTGGTTCGCCGCTGCTACCTGCCATCAGATGCACACGGGTACGATCATCGTACTACGATGGAGATCGATAGGCGGGAGGTCACCTACCCACATCACCATCATATCACCGTTATGTGTGTGACTTTGACAAGACCTAGAATAAGGACCATTCAGGCCTGCATCTGCGGCTTGAGCCCTTTACCGTACAACTTGTACGGCGGCCAAAATGTGCTTTTACGGCTCATTCGCGATGGTAGCGGGTACGGCGACACTGTAAATTACATATTGTAAATTTTATTGTTATGTCAACACGACGCTGCACCAGGTAGCACAGGGTATGGGACAACGTTGCGGAGGCGACGGGGACGCCTTTGCCTTTGCGGCCGCTGACGGTAGCGGCCGCAGAAGAGGCGCTGGCGGCTTTGACTCCGCTGCATGGCAAGGCCGCAGTGCGGTCATACTTGGGCCGTACTGCAGCGCCCGCGGTGGCGGCGACGGCGTTAGTGACGGTGGTGGTCGTGGCGTTGACGGCGACGTGGACTGCAGTATTCCTGGGAGACTGCGTGTTGCGTACGGCAACGTCGCCTCCGTCACCATGGGGTTTGCCTGGTCATCGCGGAGGCTCGCTCACGCGAGCACCCTGGATCTGCCGTACCTCCATGGCAGTGGTGGCGGCGGCGGCGGCGGCGGAGGGTTGTTTGCCCGCGGCGCGGCGCGACGGCGGGGGCTTCCGTGTACCAGTGCAGGTAACAGCGTCGGCGTCGGCGACGGCGACAGCGACGGTGACGGCGGCGGTGACGGCGGCGGCGACGGCGGTGGCGACGGTGACGGTGGCGGCCGCGTCGGCGGCGGGCAGAGTGACGTGGAGTTAGAGAGTCGAACACCGCCACTGCGGTGGTTGCAATCACGTCAGTTGCAACCCCAGGTAAGGATACGAGAAGGTGCGACATTGTGGGGACCCCCCTTGTGGGCCCTCAGCCAGGCGCATCTCTGTAAGCCTAAAAAACCTTGCCGAAAACTTTTGAAAGTATTCGTGTGATGTACGGCATATGGCTTACGGCGTGCGACATTTTAAATTGCTCACCATCTGGCGGGCAAGAACCCGTGCCACCTGCCTAGTTGTTGACTTTATAGATTTGGAGGTTGTGACGAACTCTCCACTTGTGCCACCTGCCGTACACCTACACGTGCAGAGAAGCATTCTTAAGCGTGGCACGTTTGCGACAGCGGACAGCGCAGTAGGTGCTACTGCTGCTACTGCTACTGCTACTGCTGCTACTGCTACTGCTGCTGCTGCTGCTGTTGTCGGCCGCGGTGGTGGCGGCGGCAGCGGCGGCGGCGTGGGTAGTGGTGACGGCAGCGATGCTGAGTTCACGCGGCGGGCCATCGCCAGCCGACCCGACCTCCGCGGTCTCGTACGCCGCGATGATGATGATGATGATGATGATGAGCTCCTCCTAAATGGCGGTGAGGAGTGCTTGACGGTTGTTGACGACGTCGACAATGACGACGACCCGGGCCCTCACATTGGCTGTAGTGCTTGTGGCGAAGAGGGTGTTGAGCCAACGAAAAAGACGGGGGCCGTTGCCGTATCAGCGTACAGTGGCGCCGTTGGCGGCGCCGCCAACGCCAACGATGATGACGACGACGATCTGGATACCGATGCGCCGCCGCCGCCGCCGCCGCCGCCAACGCGAGCAGTAGCGGCGGCAGCCAGTGCCGCGGCAGCGCCTCCTGAACGTGTACTGCACCTCCGCCCTGGTGCCGCTGCTCCGCCTGTCCTTGTTGCGTGGGCCGCCGACACGCCTAGGCCTCCATCCGGCCCTCCACCGCCGCCTCCCCCTCCCCCTCCCCCTCTTCCCACCAGCGCCAGCTGACACAAGGCACAGGATGGTGGCGTATCGTCAGCTCACGAGGCACGGAGCTCGCCCGGCGGTGCATTCCCGCGGGCGCAGGCAACTTATCCACACCGTCAGTTTGCCGCCGTACCGCCGCCGTACCGCCGCCAGCTTCAGCTCCAAGTGCAGCGCCGCCGGCTCCAGATCCGACACGTAGTCCGGTGGCATCCAGGCGGTGTCTGTCCAGCCGCCCCTCCAGGCCGTACAGGAGCCGTATGTCGTATTATTCCGCGGCGGCAGGCGGGCGCAGTGTACCCCAACTGACATTACCGGCGGCGGCGGCGGCGGCGGCTTCGGCTGCAGCGGCAGCTTTCCGCCCAAGCCCAAGCCGTTGCTGCTGCTGCTGCTGCTGCGGCGGCGGCAGCGGCGAAGTGGGTTCGAATCGTAAGAACCATCTTAAGTACGACAGTATAATAAAGGAACACCAACGGGACAGCCGTACATGTATGATGGATGCGCTCCATGCGGCACCGTGGCGGGAAAAGCATCACGATCATCATGATCACCTCTCGCATCTAGGTGTGATATGATACAGAAGAGGACGTCGGGATGAAGAGGGGCTTACGGAGCGGGTTGTGAGGGGGGGGCGGCAGCTGCCCATCATTTCAACACAAGAATAAGTTCAGCACTACAGCACTAATAGTAAAGAAACGAGGGAATGTCCAGGCGGTGGTGGTGGTGGTGGTGGTATTTGGCCTATATTTCGTTGCTGCTCCCGGCTTTGTGTGTGTTTCCCGCCGTGGTGTAGGAGGCGCGCTGACAGTTGTGCGACAGACAGCTCGAGAATGCCGCGGCTGCTGCTCCGATAAAATACAACCAAGTTACAAGTTAGAAAATAACCGTTGGAGATGTGCAGAATTTTCGCCACCGTACTTGCCGTACTTCCCAACCCTTGCTGCCGTTAGGGCGGGACGCCATATAAAACCTATAACCGGCATAAGCCCCTGCTTTCTGTATCGCTGAACTCTTGACATGCTGGACATGCTGGCTTGGCTGGCTGCTGACTGGCGGTATGGTTTATGCAGCACTGGCGCACTCGTGCTGCCGTGGGGCTATTGTCACATGTGCCATTTATTTATAAAGCTTTTGCATGCGCAGATGTTTCCATGGTGCTTTTTGGTAAACCTAGAAACCCTAGCACTAGACTGCTCCGGGACCAGCTAACTAATTTACTAAACCGCCAGCTGACCACTGAACCATCGACTGACTGGCGATGATGATGATGATGATGATGATGACGATGATGATGTGATGACGACGTGGTCTGGTGCTCTGTCCAGGTCTGTGACTGCTGTTACATCTATTTGTACGGATGTACGGACGCCCGCCCTGTCACCCGCCCCCTGTTTTTGCAAGGGGTAGACTTTAAGGGGAGCGAAGGTACCCCCCTCCGCTGTGACTTAGAACCGCATGTATGGGGGTCATTGATGCTACAAAACATAAAATTGCTATTTCCGTCAATTTTTATTCATCGTGATAACTCTTATGTTGTATATTTATTGTTACTACGTTATTATTAAGTGGTTTCAAGAGGCGCACTGGTGGCGTGTTCAGAAACTCATCTTTTTAGCATCATCCTTGTATCAGCTGTGCTCTTATGCCGGGGCTGTAAAGTTATTTATTCGCTCACCGTCCCCTTCACTCCACCTCCTATTTCCCCCCAGTCCCCACGGTAGCGCGTTGCGGTCTCAAGGCCCCCTTTCATGCCTGCTACGTGTGCCTGTGTGTACTACAACTTGTGCTACACCTCGTCCCAATTGTGCTACATCTTGTGCTACACGAGCTCGTAAGTCAGCTGCTCTTGCTGCCCACTGTCAGGCCGTCAGGGTCAGACGTGTCGTAACGCACAGGTTACGCACACAAACACCCCTGCGCACACAAGTCCGCAAAGGATTTCACTTCGCCTGCCTCACTGGGGGCCGCACTGACCTCAACCTCATCCTCATCCGCGGGTAAACATATCCCCAACAGTACTATTCGACATTACTACAGCCACAGAACCGCCATTAAGGACCACTAACACAAAACCTAACGGTATTAACTGCCAACAGCCGGCTCAGCTTCAGCATCAGGAGTATCACGGGCAGCCTCCACTACGAGCTCCTCCCTCGCCTTCCGCGGCCAGTTGACGGTGGCTCCTAGGCAGCCGCAGCGCACCGCGTGGTGGAGCAGCTATGGGTGGCGGCGGGGAGAGCGGGTGGGGGTGAAGGACGGAGGGAGGGAGGGAGGGAGGGACGGGCAATCCGCGGGAACGTGTGAGTAACGAACATCTCTCCCACTTTAAACTCGAAATCCCGCCGGCCATCACCCCATCCCATGTTTGAAGGCACGTACACACGGGCTCCCACCGTGTGTGTTTCCCCCCTCCCTACCCCTGCTAGCTGCGTGTTGTCCCCATGTGAGTACATGTCGGCCGTCCTATGAGGACATTGCGAGTCATTCTTCAAGTAAACACACACCAGTAAACACACACCAGTAAACAACCAGTAAACAACACACCCACACCCACATACACATACACACGCGGTTCAGATCAACAAACAAAACACACACACACGCACACACGCACACACGCACACACACACGCACACACACACACACACACACGCACACACACACACACACACACACACGCACACACACACACACGCACACACACACACACACGCACACACACACACACACACGCACACACACACACACACGCACATACACACACACACGCACACACACACACACGCACATACACACACACGCACA